TATATATATATATATATATATATATATATATATATATAATTTGTCAGCATTTTATCTCGAGTGCACAAAGGTCCTCAGTAACAAAGAACGAGATAAAAAAAAATATTTCATTGGATGAAAAAATCAATTAGACTTTTTATTATTTGTTGTTTTTGTTTTGGTAAGAATAAGCACGTAGGCTTTTGTTTGTACAAACGGTTTGTTTTAATCAGTAGTTTTATTGTTCACCAGACTTCGCATTTGGCATCCGGGTTCATGTGGGACCTCACCGGGCAGTTGAATTCTCGGGAAAACTCTGGGAAGTTTGATAGAGGTCCTATCACGCGGAATTTTGGCGGACAGTGCGAGTCTTTTTCTATCTGCAGGTTCAATGATTCGGACGTTGTTGCTGAGCACCATACCTAAAATTATTTTCGATATATACATATATATTTTAAAGATATAAACTCATTTTAAAGTTACACTCATCAAGAGCTTTCATTTGAGTACCCACATGCATTTTTGATATATTTTTCTTATATACATATATATATATATATATATATATATATGATATATATAAATATATAAAATATATGAAAAATTGATGTGGGTATTCAAATGAAAGGTCTTGATGAGTGTAACTTTAAAATGAGCTTATATCTTTAAAAACTTCAATAGTTCATGAGAAACAAGGTCAAATACACTGGCCAGTGTATTTGACCTTGTTTCTTAATAATATAGATTACCTGAGCAAAATTTATAAAAAATAATTGACGATGGTTCAAGTGACTCAGACCAGGCAGCGGTAATTGGTCATGATAATTTGAAGGCGAATTTAAATACGCATGATAAGCTGCTTTGAGTCCACCATTATCAGCAATATTCTCCCCTAAAACAATAAACAATACCAATAATAAAAAAAATAAATGTAAAAATGTTAAGTATTGAATTTTAAATTACCTAAAGTCTGTCTTCCATTAATATGACGATTTTCAATCTGATAATTACCATACTGTTGAACAAAACACTCAGTCTGATTCTTAAACCTCTGAATGGTAGCATTATTCCACCATTTATTTAAATTACCGTTGAGATCATACTCACGGCCTTGATCATCGAATGCATGGGTAAGTTCATGGCCCATAACAACGCCAATGCCTCCGTAATTGAGACTGGAGGGATTATCCATCGCGTAGAACGGGCTCTGGAGGATTCCCGCGGGAAAGACGATCTGGTTTTTGGTCGGGGTGTAGTACGCGTTCACCGTCGGAGGTGTCATGATCCAGGTTGTTTTGTTAACCGGGTGATCTAGCTTCTCTAGATTTTTTTTCAGCGTGTACTTATTAATGCGAATATTGTTCTGGAAGTACTCGTTTTCTTCTATAGCCAGGTCCTGGTACCGCTGGTCAAGCTCGCTAGCCGACAAAATGAACACCGGGAACCCGATCATGTCCGTTATTGCGTTGGCCTTCTCTTCCGCCAGCTTTCGCGTCTCGCCGTCCATCCAATTTAGGTTTTTAAAGTTTTTTACAAAAGCTTCTCGGATGCTCGAGATCATTTCCTCCGCCTGGATAATTCAATTAATTATTCATTCATTTAATTAATTGTCTATCGATTATTACGTACCTTGGGCTTGCTTTTACCGTGGAACACTTGTCGTACGAACATTGCGCCGATGGCAAAACCCATAACATTGTTAGCGTCAGTAACACAGTACCTCCATTGTTCCTCTCTACCTTCTGATCCAATTAATGCTTTTCTCAGACCCTTGTACGCTTCCCGAAAGGGTCGAGAGAGGAATGCTGTTAATGATCTTACTGTTTGCCAAATTAAATAATTATTTAGTATCCTAGTGTAACAAATAATCTTCATTAGTAACACTCCTATTTAATTTTTTAATTATTTCTCGTATTTAATCAAATTAATTTTTTTTGCTTTGAAGGATTGTTAAAAAAATTATTTAAATATATTAATTATTTTAATAAAATTAAAAAAAAAATATAAAATTTACCCAAGGCTGGAATCGAACCCCGTTCGGTCCGCGCTATTAAGAAAGAGTGATACCACTTAGCCATCGTAAATTTTTCAAAGTCGTCATTTTAATAATCTTGAGTTAAATTCTTTACTTTTGCAGTAAATAAAACAATGTTTATTGAAAAAAAATTAAATTTTACTAATCTGCAAAGCATAAAAATTTATTTGATTTAAACAACAAAAATAAACTTACACTTTTCCCTCTGTAGTATTATTGTACTCTTCAACAAGCTTTGAAAGCTTTCTAAAATACTCTGGCGCAAAATTAACAATTATATGCCGGCCGTCGACTTTTTTGCTCTTACCCACTAACTTAGTAGCATTTTTGAAGTAATTAACCCACGAGAGCTGTAACAACACACAAATTAGCGGAAGGACTACTAATAATTAAGGGAACCAACGAACAAGTAGTCGTTATAAACACATACACAATATTTTATATGGATATACTAACAAAAGGCGCAAGTTTTTGCAATTGATTAATGGACATTAAATTGTACAATTTTTCTTCATCGCGTCTGTCCTCTTGGGGGATCGTTATTTCGGCTAATTTTGTTTCAAAGTCAATTACCGCTTGCATTTGTCTTCTAGTCTCTTTCTCTTCCCCTCCCAGCAGTACGCCGATCTGCAAAATCACTCTCATCACAATCATCATTTTTATTTTAGTTTATTGAAAGTACCTTGGTCATGTAATCCAAGTAGGCCGCGAGAACTTTTGCGTGTTCGGTTTTATTTAAATAATTATCAGTAGTCGGTAAAGTTAATCCGCCTTGATCAATCTGAAATAAATTAATTTTATATTAAAAAACTGTATAATTAGCTTAATTGAAAGCTAAAGAATTCAAATCTACAATTTTTATATTATATTTTTGACTCTAAATAATTTCTAATGGCTAAGTGGCATTAGTATTTTTTTAACCGCGTGGACTGAACAGGGTTCGAGTCCAGTCTTGGGTAAATTGATTATTTTTTTTTTTTTTTTTTTTTTTTTTTTTATTATAAAAGAAATTAATATTTTAATATTTTTAACAATAAACAATAATATTAGAAGTTAAAAAAAATTTTTTTTTTTTTTTCTGCGTGAAATTAATTAAATAAAATTCAATAAAGCAAAACAACCTGTATAATATGTCTTGTACTGTTTCTGTCGTCTTCATTGACCGCCCAGGAGAACAAACCTCCCATGTTGTAGACATTTTGTAGCACATGCATGCTGTTTTGCAAATTCCAGTTGGAAACATTGAATCCGCGGTCTGTAATACTTCTGTTAGTGTTTGTGATGTTCCAATCTCCGACAACTTTCAGGAGATCTATCATCGGTTCGGCGCCAAGTGTCTCTATCGTTTCATTGGCGTCCATGCAAGATAAATAATACAACTTGGCTTTTTGTTCGGCCTTTGATTTCATTTCACTCAGCTCTTTTTCTGAAAAGGAATAAATAAAATGACAGTCCGTTAAAAAATAACAGCCTGAGCATTAATAAAAATATTCACCCAAGGCTATTTTAACAACAAGCTGATTATCTTGTTCTAATTTGCCAAAAGTACCCCACATACTCTTGCCATCTGGAATCGGATTTTTTTTAATCCAACCACCGCAAGCGTACTCGTAGAAATCATCACACGGGTCCACAGACGGGTTTATACTGTTTATTATTGATGCCGCGACTGTTACGCAATGCTCGGTTAGACAATGAAAACTATCTGTAGGGAAATAATTTGTTTAATAATTAGTTTTTTTATTTCTTCTATTTTTGTTGACTCAATTTATGGTAATTACTGTTTGACGACACGTGAAGAATCTGAGCGTCCTCCCATTCATTTTTGCTTCTTGTTGCCGTTTTTATGTCAATAAAAAGCAGGGTGAAGGTAAATATTGACAGACCGATACATACACAGAGTAAACATCTCTCGAGTTTTGTTCTCGCTCGCCAAAAGTTAATACCCTTTAATAATAATTTATTTTTTTTTTTTTATTAGATTTAAAGAAGAAATGTTTATTCTATTTTTTTTTATAAAAATTTTTAAACTAAAAAATTATTTATATAATTTAATAATTTTTGATTAAAAAAATAGTTTATTAAATTTTTTAACTAGAAAAATTATTAAATTAAACAATTGTTTTCAATTTAAATAAATTTTACTTAATCTAAGAATTTTTTATGAGAAAAATTTTATTTATTTATTTATTTAATTTTTCTACTGAAAAAATTTTTATACAAATAAATTGTTTTTAATTTTAAATTAAGAATTTTTTCAGAAAATTCTTAATCAAAAAAATTGTTCTTAGCTTTTTAATTAAACATTTTTTGTTGAAAATATTAAAATACATACTGAGTGATACCGTATATGCGTCGCCGAAGTACTAATACCTTCGCTATTGAGTATAACAGATCCAATACTGCTGCTACAACTATCATCCTCAAATTCAGTATGTTTATACTTAGTCATCTGTAAATAATTACCAAAAATCAATCTAAAAATCCAACCAAACAAATAAATTCTTCTTTAGCTATTAAAAAAAAAAAAAAAAAAATATTCGCGTGACACTAAAAATGAGGCTGTGTTGTGAGAAAATCGCGCATATGAAACTTATTTAAAGACTATGACGATGATACACATTATAAAGTACGCGAATAATAATAAACCGCATGCGCACGTATTAACGTAATTTATAAAGAGCGTAAACTCTATCCACACATAAAATATTAGTTATTAAATGCATTATATGTAATTACATAATTAGAGGACTTTGGAGGAAATAAAATCTAAATATTAGCAGTACTTACTTTGACAGACATGTTTGCACCTTTGAGTATTAAAAATTATTTAAACACCGAATAATTATCTTGACATAAAATAACTGATGTACTAGTCTAAAATTTACATTAAAAAATACATTTTTATCTATATAAATATATTTGATAAGACAGATTTGATAATAAAACGTAGCTCGCGGCCTGTCACCGCGGTTTCATTTATCTGATTTTTTCTTGGTCATTCCGCCACCAAATTAGTCATTTATTCAACAATTACCCAGCAACACTTTTAACAACCGAGAATAATAATAATAACAACAACAATTATTTCCTGTTGTTTAGTGTTTAGCTTAATGTGTATATCTTGTTGGTGCACTTGCGTTACTGATGTTATTCGCCGCGGCAATACAGCACACGCGCTTTAGTTTGTCGGCGCTGTTTTCAGATGGACCTCGCCGCTATTGATTTCTTCATATCAGACACCCGCTTTACATTTAATAAAATAAAATAAAATACTATCAAAATGATAGTGAACATCTGGTCTTTATAAAACAAAATTTACTAAAGAAAAAAAATATCAAATTAATAACTACTAGCAACCTTGCTATTTTGTTAAATTGCACTGTACTTCTTTAACTATTGATCTTTTTAAAGATATAAGCTCATCCTGATGTTACAATCATCAAGAGCTTTCATTTGAGTACCCACATGCATTTTTTGATATATTTTTATTCATATATACATATATATAACATATATTTTCAAGATATAAGCTCATCTTGATGTTACACTCATCAAGAGCTTTCATTTGAGTACACACGTGCATTTTTTATATATTTTTCATATATACATATATAATATATATAAATATATGAAAAATTGATGTGGGTACTCAAATAAAAGGTCTTGATGAGTGTAACATCAGTCTGAACTTATAACTTTAAAAATGTCAATAGTTCACGAAATACAAGGTCAGTTTTAAAAACCCATTTTATCATATCTGGCCACAAAATTCTGCATATTCTCTTAATAATATAAATAAGGTTCTTTTTAAAAAAAAAAAAAAAAACAAAAATCAAAATCCTTATCAATATTTTAATTTATTATTTCTTCATGACAGCAGACACTCGTATCCTATAAAAATAATAATTTAACGCTCTAATTAAAAAAATTCATCAATTATTTACATTTGCCCCTTACAAGGCTAAATTAACTAACGGGAAAAAAAAGTATTTATCAATTAATTATAAATAAAATAAAAATTAAAGACAGTCGAAGAAATCTTAAATAAAAAAAATTCGACCTAAATTCTTAAAATCTATAAAATAATCGATAAATTTTATCTCTAATTCAATAACCAGTGTAATCATGCCAAGGATTTCTCTCCGCTTGTCTATTGTACGTCCCAACGTGAACGACTTCAGGAGTCTTGAATAACTGGGAAGAAGCAGTAGGTCTTTCGTCATTGATTCGCGTTAGAGGAAAAAATCCGGGAGTTGGAGGAAAACTTTTTTGTGGCGAGTTTAATTGGTGGTTCTGTTCGGCTTTAAAAGGTCTTACGCGATAATTATTTTCGGAAGGTTGCAGAGCCGGTTCTCGATTGATTTGTCTCTGTATTAAAGGAAGTACGAATCCGCTGGGCAGAGGGTCTTGATTAAACGCCGGAGTGAGAGCTTCATTTAGCGCCTCGTCGTACTCGCTCTCGGGAATTTCTTGCAAATTATGAGGAACTTCATTGAGCCTCTGCTTGGCTAAACTGCTCGGTCCGGTCACATCTTTACCGTAATTAGTATTATTATTATTATTATTATTATTATTAAAACGATAATTTCCTCGATTGGCCAACGGAGCGCGAGGTTCTTTGTCCTCTATCTTTTCTTCGACTTTCCAATCGTCGTAATTCTCCTCGATCTTTTTTTTCTGATCGACATCGATGATTTTGTAAGCGTCGTACAATTTATCTTGCTCGGATAAATTGACAGGTCGCTTTTGAGAGTGAGAGAGAGATTTTATCGAGATCCCAGAGTCGGGAGCTTTCACACCGACAGCAGAGAGGCCGCGAGGGTTCGGATTTCCGCCTCTAGAGGGAAGAAAGGGCCGCTTGACAATCCTCACTGTCATTTTGGGCGCCAGGGTGCTCGAAATTGGCGCAGAGGAGGACAAAGTCGAAGAAAGAGGCTCTTCTTCGTCGTAATACTCGTCTTCTGAAGGATAATCCGGTTCTAGAGGCTTAGACGGCTCGGTTGGCACCTTTGCATCCTCAATTGAGTCACGATCTTTAGACGTGTCCTCATTATCTTGTGAAAGAGGATTTATAGGCTTGGACTGGATCTCTTCAGGAAGTCGATCGGGCTCTTTGTCTCTCAATCCGGGACGTCGCAACGGTTTGTAATCTCTCTCACGGTCCCCGGGACTAGTTATTGGGTCTTTTTCTCGGTCCAGGGCTCGGTCACGATTTCGGTCGTAGTATCTGTCTCGGGGGCGTTCAGGGTACTTTCGAGCGGGTCTCATGTCTTCCTCGTCCTCCTCTCGGTACCGCGGTCTGCAATGTCAAACATCAGTTGGTCTGAGATTTAATTATAATACCGAATAATTGATAAATTGCACTATACTTTCTTAAATATTGACATTTTTTAAGATATAAGCTCATTTTGATGTTACACTCATCAAGAGCTTTCATTTGAATACCCACATGCATTTTTGATATATTTTTCATATATACATATATATAATATATATAAATATATAAAATATATGAAAAATTGATGTGGGTACTCAAATGGAAGGTCTTGATAAGTATAACACTAGAATGAGCTTATATCTTTAAAAATGTCAATAGTTCACAAGATAATTGTTATTAAATTGCACTGTACTTTCTTAAATATTGACATTTTTAAAAATATAAGCTCATCTTGATGTTAAACTCATCAAAAGCTTTCATTTGAGTATCCACATGCATTTTTGATATATTTTTCATATATACATATATATATATAAATATATGAAAAATTAATGTTGGTACTTGAACGAAAGGTCTTGACGAGTGTAATATCAGGATGAGCTTATATCTTAAAAAATGTTAATAATATAGCTAAGAACGGGTAATTAACGATACCTTAATGGTCGATCTCGTTCTCGATCATAAAGGTGTCTGTCGCGTTCCCGATATGGTCTTCTTCTCATAGGTCTTCGTGCCGGTCGCTCTTCTAGCTCGTCCTCGTAATAATCTTGATCACGAGCGACTGGTAACTCGGTTGTTGTTGATGTTGTTGTACGTTTGTGTTCTCCTGTCATGTAATTCCAATCTCAATAAATATTTATGTCTTACTTGTTCCCATTAATTTAACAACTACAACTCAGATACACATATTTACAATTTAAAATTATCGTTTATTGATCGTTATTTAATAGAAAGATACATTTTATAATAATAAAGATTCATTAGCCCGTGAGAATATTTCAAACAATATTGTAACGTCAAAATAAATTTATTTTTTTATCACATTGTAAAAAATATTGTTAATTACATAATAAACTATTACGATGGATTGTTAATAATAATTTATATCCAACAGATGGCGTCTTCCATAAATTTATTCTCAATAGATGGCACCTCATTTATTAAAAAAATTTTTTTAATAGCAAAAAACATTAATTTTAAATTTATAAATTTAATTAGAACAAAAAAAAAAAACACTTTTGAGAGATAGAATATAGGATTAAAAAATAATTTCATCAATTACCGACAATCGGTTGCACAGACGACGCTTTGTAAGCGAATCGATCTTGCTCAGACAGCGGAACCGGTCGTCGGATTTTTGGGGGCGCTCTTGGTCGCGCGTAAACTGACGTGCTAGGAGCTAAGGGTTTAACCATAGCTTCGCTGGTTGATTCATCGTCGTATTCTTCTTTAGCGAATCTGCTGATAAAATCTCAGCATAAATAAATAATAAACCAATATATATATAAAAAAAAAAAAAAAAAAAAAAAAAAAAAAAAAATAAATTACCCTCGATCGTATCGCTGAGTATCATCAACTCTGGGTGGATCTCTTCGGTTGTTCCTCGCGGGAAATCGGTCACGCCTGCCAGCATCCTCCTCATCTCTGGCAACCGGTCTCTCAGAAGTGTACTCGCGTGGCCGCGAAACCTGATCGCGATCGCGATAATCCCTATCACGATCTCTCGGATGATCGCGAAAGTGGTCTCGATCACGGTCTCTGTTGCGGGCGTTGTACTGCTGGCGATCGTCGTAATCATAGTCATCGCGGCGATCGTAACCAGACCCGCGGGTTCGAGGTCGCTCGTAATCGTCCTCGTAGTAATCTTGGTCGTAATAATCATACGCGGGACGTCTTCTGAAAGGTCTTCGTCTTCTGCCAGACGGTCGCGGATTTTCTGCAAATTCTGGAGCTTTTGTTGTGGTTGTTGTTGTTGTTGTTGTTGTTGTCGTTGTTGTTGTGGTAGTTGTTGGAGGCGCGATTGTCGTGGTACTCGCCGCTTGATAAAGCGCGTCGTTCCGGTGCCAATATTTCTTGGAGTTAGCGCAGTCGATTTCGGAGACAAAATGGCAGATGAAAGTTTTTTGATCAAACGCCGTGAAGTTTGCGCATAGAAAATCGTACCGAGTGCCGTAGAGACAGTGATGGTATACCTGGAATCAAATAAAAATATAAAAAAATTAAATCATAAACTTAAATTGCGCTGTATTTTTTTAACTATTGATTTTTTTAAAGATATAAACTCATTTTAAAGTTACACTCATCAAGAGCTTTCATTTGAGTACCCACATGCATTTTTGATATATTTTTCATATATACATATATATATATAATATATATAAATATATGAAAAATTGATGTGGGTACTCAAATTAAAGGTCTTAATGAATATAATGTCAAAATGAGCTTATATCTTTAGAAATGTCAATAGTTCACAAAATAATTGTTGAATTGCACTGTACTTTCTTACATGTTAATGTTTTTTAAGAAATAAGCTTATCCTAAAGTCACACTTAACAAGAGCTTTCATTTGAGTACCCACATGCACTTTTGATATATTTTTCATATATACATATATATATATAATATACATAAATATATAAAATATATAAAAAATTGATGTGGGTATTCAAATGAAAGGTCTTGATGAGTGTAACATCAGGATGAGCTTATATATTTAAAAATGTCAACAGTTCACAAGATACAAGGTCATTTTTTAATTATGGATATTGAGATAAAGTATAAAAACCCTTTTTATCATATAAATACACTGTCCACAAAATTTTTCTTATTCTCTTAATATAATAAAGATGATCTAGTTTTGAATAATTTTGTAATTAAACAATAGTAACATTTCTCTAACTATGGCTTTCACAGTCCATAAGTATAAGTGTAATTTGTAGATTAGAATGTTCGGCATACATCCACATAAACTTCCATACGGATTTGTAATTCGTGCGGTTACGGTTTTTAAGAACCGAATAAATCCCAGAAGTGCGTGTTACTACGCAGCGTAAAGTAATTTACCTGTTTGTACACATACTCGTTAGTATGGATGTATATCTCGTGGAATGATCTAGAGTAATTTACTAGAGCGCGTCGAAATTCAGGACCGAATAACGTCCTGGATTTCTACATCGACTCGGCTGTTGTTATATTAACAACAATTGTGTATGTTATCTATACGAATTAAAATGTTAAATACAATGAGCCAGTCAACCACAAGATATGTATTGTAAATTGTAATAAAAAAAAAAAAAAAAAAAAAAAAAAAATAAACCCAATAATTATGTTAATGCCTTCCGATGAAATATTAACGACTAAATGTCAGGAAGCGTATTTAGTATTTATTATTGCGTACTATTGCGTATCTTAGATGGTATTTTGCATGACAATGCTTCTTGACGGTTCGCCGGACAAGGTTTAGATCGATATTGCGACATCTGCTTTCATTTATTATTTTAAAAGCATTTTCTTTTACTTTTAAATTCTTACGGCTGATACATAACAATATAGTCTTGATAAAAAAAATATTTTTCACTGTTAAATATTTACTTCACACTCTTATTTCGTATTATAATATAAAATTTTATGATTATTAAATTTATTTATGTATTAAAAAAGTGGAAAAATCATTTTCTGCGCATCGTGTTTTGGAAAACACTCTTTGCTCGTTGCCTCAACTTCATATTTAGCAAAAAATCCCCTCCACAATTTTATAATTAAATATATTATCAATAGATGGCATTGCATGCTTATTTTAAAAGTATTTCTTCTTTATTTTATTAAAAAATTTTTTTTAATAGCGGGAAATTTAAAATTTAAATTAAAACTTTTTATTCTTTTTAATTTCATCAATAAAAATTTTTTAAAAAAATAATATTATACAATGATTACCTGGCATTTGTGAGGTACACTGGCGTAAAATCCGTCGTGGAGGCCATCGCACTTGAAGTCTATGTCCTTGGGAATGGTTTCGTAAAAAGGATAATCACTTAAATTGTATCCGTTCAATTCCCGCGGTAGATTTGGATCCCATATGTAATCAATTTGCGGAATTCCTGTTAAATTGTGAGTGGCTGTAGAGTTTCCATCCACCACCTGTGTAATTTTTAATTATTTTCCCAATTAAATTAAACATTACATAAAATATAAAAATAGCTGTGCAATAAAGTAAAAAAAAAAATAAAATAAATAAAACACTCACCTCGGTTTTATTACCATCAATTTCGGGTTCATCATTATCTAATGAAGCTGATGGCTCTGTTGTGCTGCTGGTAGTTGCTATTTTAAATTTCGTCCGGCCGTTTTTTAAGGCCGCTGACACAGCCGAGGCTAATAAGAAACCTGAAACAAATTTATTTATTTATTTATTTATTTATTTATGTATTTTACGGGATAAAAAGAAGAAATAATGAGGTAAATCGACGGTATTGCGAAATAACTGAAGAAGCGACTGATGGAATTGTAAAAGTATGAAAACTAGGAGCTTGTGAGAGCACGTGATGCAATTACAAATAACACCGACGAAGGAGGACATATACAAACAAGAGGTAAATTGAGTAATTGTTTTCAAATCAGATCAAGGCTTATATACTCTGCTATTGTCAATCATAAGGAATTTCTAACAGTAAATATCACGGATATCACCTTAACTGGATCTACAATCACAATTCTTTTTTTTTAATCATTTCTTAAATGTTAAATAACTTTATCAACTTTACAATTACTTTTTAGAATTCTTTTATTTCTTCTAAAATTAATTCTGGAATTTTATAATGATATCTTTTGATCAAGATAAACTGTATTGGCGGAGTAGGATCAGTTTTTATCAATTGCGCGGACGGAACAGGGTTCGAGTCCTGTCTAGGGCAAAATTTATCTTTTCAATTATTTTTAATATTATTAATTTAAAGAAATAATTTTTTTTATAGATTAAAACTTAAATCTTTTTTATAACATTGTCATAAAAACAAGCTATTGTCAATCATAAGGAATTTGTAACAATAAATATCACAGATATCACCCTAACTGGATCTACAATCACAGTTTTTTTTTTTTTTTTTTTTTTTTTTTTTTTTTTTTTAAAATCATTTTTAAACTGTTAAATAACTTTATCAACTTCACAATTACTTCTTAGAATTCTTTTATATCTTTTGGTTAAAATAAAGTATATTGGCGAAGTAGTATCAATTTTTATCAATTGCGCAGACAGAACAGGGTTAGAACCCTGTCTTGGGGATAATTTATATTTTTAATTTAGAAAAATAATGTTTTTTTCGTAGATTAAAGCTTATGTTTATGTAATATTGTCATAAAAACAAAATATCTTGATCAATATCTAAAATATCAAAGTAACCTTGTATTATCCAACATTTAATCTAAATAGAGAATATTAAAGAAAGCTTACGACACTATAAAAAATTAATAAATAAAATAAAAATTACCATAAAGTGTGAGGAGAAGCGACGTCCTGAGCATGTTGCAATATCTGAAAGGAATAACAAAATCTAGATAAATAAAAGTTGATTGGTATGTTAATGAGGGGAGAATCAAGTATAAATCGGTATTTATAAATTAATAAATATTATATTGAATATATTGTACCGCTATTATCATTCATAGAGCTGGTACATACAAGTATAGAAAACTTTCTCTGTGCTGTCACCACCAGCAGCCATATAATGCAAGGATAATGTGGGTGTTATATAAAACCCGTATCACGTAATACCCCGTGTAATCTTTGACATCTAGGTCCATTGATGCCCCGATAGACAAATTCTAAGTTTCTATTAAGTAACTCTGCTATTTTTTCTTCAGATAGCTCTATCAGATGGAATATTAAATAGGTATTTATAATTAATAATTACAATTATTAATCATTAGTTTCACCAAGGACGAGTAACCTTGGGTCTTAGGACTGACCACTGTTGTCAACATTCCAAGTGACTTCCGCGTTACGACAGTTACTGCCTTATTTAAGAATAAAATTAAACACCTCTCGCACAAATTGTGAAAGTAACCTTGCGACTTGATATTTAGATTTTTAATCAATTTTTAAACTAACTTTTTCAATCAATACTTCAATATTACTCAACAAATCCGTTAGTTACACCGGCGGAAGAGTTTAATTTTGGGTAACGGTCCCGTAAAGGTCAAACGTGATGGAAAATTTTAATTGATAAGGATAATTTTTCTCAAGTCAATGACTTGATAGAGGATTCCTTTCTTTTTTTTTTTTTTTTTTTTTTTTTTTTTTTTTTTTTCATTACTATTAATGTGTTAAGTCTACCAAATGCTTCCTTTTCGCTTTAATAATCCCGGTATTAAATATTAAATATTAATTTTATCAGGGTGACGAAAAACAACGTGTCGCAATCCAACATCTCTAGTTAATAAAAGTAGAGCATTTTGCATTTGGATTGAAAGTGAACGCTTAATAAAAAATAGAGTTAAAAAATGATGAAAAATTTTTTATAATAAAAAAATAATTAACAATACTTATAGAGAGTAGAAATAAATAATGTCGGACCTCTCTCAAGAGTTTCTCTCTTTTCCTCGGTTGTCTTTAGAGATACTTTGGCGCTCACATTAATCTCACCGTTTTGGTCCTTTAAATAACAATAGTTAGAATTTTATTCACTTTTTGCAAAACAATTTCAATTGTAGATTGCACAGAGTTTAAATAAAAAATTAATAAATCACAAGCGATTTATGAAGAAAATATTGGAGTTCTCGCGGCGTTAAGGCCGGCTTGATACTAAAACTGAATGGGAATGGAAGTGGAAAACCCCAGGAGTTGATGGTGGGTTGTGTCCAGGCTACGAGCTTTCTACATCGAGGATAAACACCACGGTGGGGATAAGACAAGACTTAAGACGTATTCAAGAACCATTGGCGTACTCTTGGTACATTTACCTGGTGTCTCACGCCTATACGTGTATTGCACCTTTCTTTTCTCAGATCCGCTCAACTTTATTACGGGTTTGATGTGTGTGTGTGTGCAACACCATAAAGGCAAGCAATGGCGTCGAAGTATCTGATACCGCTTTTTAATTTAAATTAATATCTTCTCTTGGTGTCAAGTGCCGTAATTTACTCCCACTCATCGCTGTTTCATTACTATCTAATCTCTAATCACCAATTATTAAAATAATTTTTTAATTGCCCTTCGATGAGTGAAAGTAGTTAGAACAATAACAAGTTTTAATAAATATTAAATATCAAACGAGATTTTGCCTACGCAAATTCCATTCAAATCTCTTCATTGTTGTATTTTTAGCTTCAATATGTCATAAATAAATTGCAAATACTTGTTTGCTTAACTTAAGCTGAAGATATCCAACAATATTTATAATAGCGTTAAATCATAATTACAAGGGCTCAAATTTTTCTATATTTTCATCTTTATGCTAATTGTCAAGGGATTATTGCAATTTTAGTTTTTTTTTCTTTTTGGATATCTTTGTCAGTTCAAAAATAATTTTAAGAACTACTTTTGTAAAGATTATTAACCCTGTTAATGGCTAAGGCTTTTGGGTTCGTAAATAATTGTTTATAAATAAAAATAAATAAAAATAACCGGGCAAAGGAAGACCTGTCTTGGATAACTCGTTTCCAAATTCACTCACACCGTTTTAAATAGATATTTAAATTTAAATTCCAATGATAAAGCCTTGTTGGTGTTTTTTTACGTGCCTGGATTTTAAATAAAAACAATTTTATTTTGTTGGTAATTAAAATAAAAAATAGTTGTGCGCCATCAGATTGTCATTTAGACTTTCTTTTTAATCTTAAAGGCTGGTGATTGATCACCGGATAAATAGTGCATGTTAACCACATAAATAGTACAATCATGGTTGATTACAGATTTATATATTTGTATTTAAAGTTTTGAATATCGGGCGAGGCGAGACCAATCACTCCTATACCACTCTACGTCCAGCCACTCACTTTCTATTGCCCAATCATGCCAAGAAATCGCCAACATTATATATTATATATCTCTCTGTTTTTACTACCGACCTCGATCGACATTCACACGAAAGCGCTACAATAAACACATTTTCTTATAAATAAATAAATAAATCTACAGATTTAATATTTTTTATCATTATATATTCAATATAATATATTATCTTCCATTTTTCCCACATTAGTTTCCCTTCTCATACTTTACTATTATTCTATTTATATTTAAATAAATTAATTATTGCGCTCATTCTTTAATTATTTTTATTGAGAAATTTTTAATTAATTAAAAATATAACAATATAAATTTTCTTTTATACTTGTAATAAATTAAATAGTAATACTCTTCAACACGCAAAACAAAATGTCGGTAAGAATGGTCGTGTGGAATGGCGTCCGCGCGCAAGCGCTCTGTACAGTTACCGGTAAGGTTGGAAGTAAATGTTTTAGACGGTAAATATATATTTTACTAGTATTTTTTATTATTTTACAATTATAACATAAATAAATATTTGTTTTTATATTCTGTTGCCGTTCGCGTCTCGATACAAGTCATCATTGATACCGTAGAGTCTTGGCGAGTCATTGCAGTCGACCTAAAAAAAAAAAATTAAATTAATTTTGCAGATATTTGATAATTAAAAAAAATTTTTTTTAATTTTTTTAATATAATTTTTAAAACAAATTTATTTGTTAAATAAAATGAAAAAAATTAATTTTTCAGAGATATATAAGTTACCTTGAACCACCAATCGCAGACTCGGGTAGTTTGGCTAAAAACGGTGCCATTTGGACAAAGAAAACTGAACATCTGACCGCTGGGAAGACACCAGTGCCAAACTTGGCATCTAGCTTCTGGATCTGCGTAATAACCCGGTAATTTCCCCCCGCAGTTGAACCCCAGGCCCGGGGGCACTGAGTTGTAAACGGGGTAGTCGATTCCCGGTCTGTATCCGTCAATTTGCTGGAAATAATAAAAATACATTTCGAAATTAACTGCGCAATATCTGATAAATATTTACGGGCAAAAAATAAACGAGTTAAATATTTTATTGTTGCCTCTGACCGGAAGAGGTATTGTTCTTTTATTTTTTTTTTTTTTTTATTATCAATATCAGATATTTAATAAATGATGGCAAAAAAAAAATAACACTAAAGTTAGCCGACGTTTTTAATTTTTTGATTTTTTTTAATTACTAAATAAAAACTAAAAAATTTTTTAATTATCAAAAAGTCAAAAAAACTATAAGTGCAATTTTTTAAATATATTTTTTAGTTCTAATTTAATAAATTAAACAAAATCAAAGTTCAATTTTTAAAAAATAATCAAGTGACATATAATTTTAATGTCATTATTAATAGCTGCATTTTAATTTAAAAAATTAATTTATAATACAAGACAAAAAAATTATTATTTTTATGAGGGTAAAAACAAATGCTCGGTATTTATCTCTGTGATTGGAGCAATATTTATATTGTTGTAGTTCTTCCGGTGAAAATGAATAGGATTGCGCATCCTTCATACTCGACTGCTCCACAACACTTTTAAAAACTCCCCCAGGTTTTGGTTTTATTAAAACTTTTTTACGATCGATTGTCGGTGTGAAAAAATAAAATAAATAATAAAAAAAAAAAGAGTTTCTTCTTTAGAATAAAGAAGAGATTATTTAAAAGAATGCTCGCGTAATAATTAATTAGGTGACGGGATCACGCATGTAATTGTTGCATAGCAACGTGAGAAGTTTTATTGAATTAAAAATATGTTGATATTTAATTTGGAGGCAATATAAAACTTACCGCAAGCGTTGACTCATATAAAATGGTACCAGCGATGAGCACAAGCGCGTAAATAAATTTGGAGATCATCTGTAACAATTTATTCACTAATAGTTATTTATTTAATATTTATTCACTAATAAATTTGGATAAAAATAGAGGAGAAACAACAAACAGAGACTCGTGTGATATCAGTATTGTCTTGAAGATGCTCTGCAAGAGGTGGTATATATAAGGCCCAAGAAGAATCGCTAGTCGGGGGGAAAATCTGAGAGCCCCTCTTAGAAGAGTATCTCACAGTACAATTGCACCCCTCCAGCAGACATCCTCCACCTTTTGATTAAAATATCCGAGGTATGGTTTGTGGTTTATTGTAGAGGAAATAAACAGCCTGGTCTTGTTTCTTGTTTCGCTTATTCTTAATGTTGATGTTCCTTGGAGATTCACGCGATCTAAGATGTAGAGGAAGATCGTAACACGAATCCCTTCTTGTGAAATCGGTGCTCTGTACCCGTGAAAACAGTTGTACTTTGATTCAACTGATCATTCGATAAATATTTACTTTTATTTAATGATTAACTCATTTTTTTAAATTTATTTATTGGTTAAAAATTTTTTTACAAAGTTTTCTAGCTTAATTAAGTTTAAAAAAATATTTTATTTAATTCAAAATTCAAAATTTTTAATAAAGATTATTTCTTCTTTAATAAATTTTTTTTCATAAAAAATTCAATAAAAAAACTATAAATAAATTTTTTTTAGCTTAATTAGTTTAAAAAAAAAAATATTTTTTCAATTAATTATTAATTTTAAAATAAAAAATTATTTCTTCTTTAATAAATTTTTTTATATAATTAAAAAAATTAATATTTAATTTTTTCTTATAAAAAATTGAATAATAAAATTATAAATAATTTTTTTTTTCTTTTGCTGGCAGAGAAGAAATAACTATGAAGCGTTTATGCAAATAAAACAATAATTGACGGTAAAAATATTAGAATCAAAAGCGGAAAATCTAATATAAAAATTATAGGGTTGGAATATTAATCTTCGATCCAAGGCTGTTGACAATAGCGCTGGCATTAATTTGAAAAAAAAAAATTCTTGAGAGTTCGGAGGCATTGGAATTAAACGAGCCGTGACAGAATAAGAACAGCTCCTTTTGTTGGCTCTCGTTTAAGAAATACCTAAAAAATATGAATATTTATTTAATAACAACAACAGTAAGACATATGCAATAAAAATAATGTAAAAAATGTATGTTCTTGAGTTCACACAAAAATGTAATACTCGCGAGTAGAGGTGTCGCACGTGGAAACTAAAAAATATTCTCACGTCTGGTAATTCTTTGGTATTAAATAATTAATTATAAATTGCACACACGAGAGTAAAATAAGAAAAAGAGAAAGAGAAAGAAAGATTATAAAGTGACTTATGAAACCGGAGTAACTCTGTATACTAATATACAATTCCACTGTAAAAACCTAACGTATGCGTGTTGTGTTCCCTCAAATACTATTGCGTAACAAATATATACTTATTTTTTTTTTTTTTTTTTTTTATTTTAGTTTCAGATCATTTTAGACAGTCAATAACAATAACGACATGAATTATTGTTGCTACATTGGGACAATACAATGAAAAAGTCTTTTCCGGATTTAAATTTATGTTGTATTAGGTGATACGGTATGTAATCAATTACAGTAACGTTTTTTTTTTTTTTTTTATTTTTTTTTATTTTTTTAAGCCTAGTTAAAGTTATTTTTTATAAAAATCATTTCTTCTTTTATTTTAATATTAATTAATTTTACATTTGTTCTTAAAAAAATTTTGAATGACAAAAATTATTTTTTCTTTAATATTACTAATTATTTACTTAAAAAAAAAATTATTTTATTTATTATTTTCAGGTAATTTTAGACAGTAAAAATAATGACATGACTTATTGTCATTATATAGTGACAATACAAAGAAAAAGTCTTTTCCGGATTTAAATTAATGTTGTTGTATTAGGTGATACGGTATGTAATCAATTACAGTAGCCTTTTTTATTTTAAAGCTTATGTCTCTTGTTCATGTCAGTTTCACGTTCATTTTATCATCAGATACCTCCAGTGGCGGTTGTGATGTCTCTTTGTTAGTACAAATACCAAATATCATCTTCATTTACTAAACTTATAACATTAAGGTAAATAAATATTTTTTTTAACTAATTTTAAGTAGATTAAATAAAAATTTAAGATTTTTTTTTTTGGTAATTTTTAATTGTGAAGAATATAAAAAAAAATTTTTAATATAAAATAATTTAATATTCTTCACTAATAAAAAAAAAATTTTAATTTAATAAATTAAATATTTAAAATTTATAAAATATTAATTCAAAGATTTAAGATTAAAAAATAATAGAGTAAAATATATTATTGTAGTAGACTCATAAATTTTTTTTATTTAAAGATGATAAGCGTGTTCTGATAAGCCTCTTACAGACAAGTAGACAATAAAATAAAATTATTTGTAGTATAAAAAAGTGTAAAAGTGACAAATAACAAATCTTTTAAAAATTTGGCAACGCACGAGCGAATGTGGACGTTACTCTTGTAGATGAGTCGCGGCCGAGTGCACTTCCGGCGACCGTTTGCCATCGCCGTCATTTCCTGCATCCCGTAATTGTCTCTGCACACGGACTAATAAAAACCCAGACTTGTTTGTAAACAGAAACTACTCTCGGTTTTGTTTAAAATATATTTTTTTTGTTATATAACAATAACTCTGATAAATTAATAATTATACGTCAGTGATTGGTGATTGCGAGAGTTTAAATTTCGTGGGAATTTTTTAGTAAAAACCGTTCAAATAGTAGGCGTTAAATGATCACCTGCGGTAACGTAGAATGCTAATGAGAATCTTTAATTCAAACTGACAACTATCCAGCTCACCTGACTCACTTCCTGTACTCTACACTCAATATGAATACATAACATATTATGGTTATAAGCTAGAAATAAGATAACGACCTCACCCTCTATAGACAGTGTTTATGGTAATTATTCAGGCACAACCAGTGTAACACAATCCCGGTTCTATGTACATACTTTTTTTGTGTAATTACCAACGGTCAACGTAATTTATAATTAATAGTTTTGTTTTTTTTTTTTTTTTTTTTTTTTTTTTTTTAAATAATTTATTTTAAACATTTTTTGCAAAAAAAACATTAATTGTAAAAATTTTTATTAGTAAATATATCGATATTATTAAAAGCCAATAGTCAATTTATGATAAATTGTTAGGCTGCATTCGAAAATGCTCTATCTCTAGATATATAATTAAGAAATGACCTTTTATCTTGTGAAATATTGACATTTTTAAAGATATAAGCTTATTCTGATGTTACACTCATCGAGACCTTTCATTTGAGGAGTACCCACATCAATTTTTGTATATATTTCATGTATTTATATCAAAAATGCAATAAAAAATCATTTTAATTAATTATAATACCTTTAAAAATAATTTTTTACTAAAAATTCTTCTAAAGTATAAAATTTTGACTGAAAAAAATAAAAATAAAAAATTAATTAAAAATAAAAGCAACCGAAATATTAACTGGCTTAAACGTTATTTACTTAAACACGAACAAGTATTATTTTAGGGTATCGAGGGCGTTGTATCCGGCCGGTAAAATAAAAAAACCCACGACGAATTGGTGAGGTCAGGTGCAAGGTGCAAGACTCTCGCACGTGCTTTTATAAAACTTCTTCCAGAGTAACAGCTGTTGCCCCGGACTAAATAGAGAAACTCAATCTCCAGCTAGCTATTTTCGTCATCATCATCATCATCATCATCATGATTAATCATTATAATTTAATTACAATTAATGATTTAAATTCCTAAACTACAACCGAGTTTATTATATTGAGAATAAAAATTACCAGATAGTAAAATCTAATCTCGAAGAAAGATAAGAATGTTATCACTCGGTTTTTCTGACGATTGCGATGTAATGACATTAAGTAGAAGTTAAATAATCAGTTGTTTGCAGGAAGATGAGCGGCGAGGAGTTTGGGTACACCAGAAGGGACCCGCGAGTCCTCAGACGGGCCTGTGAACACCCTATGCCCCTAAAACTCGGAACCGAGCCAGAAGGCGTGTCAGGACGAAGCGCAGGAGGTTTTTCTGGAGTAGGAGTTATGCCGGAAACCGGAAGTGCCCAAGCTAACGTACAACAACGTCCAGCTCCGGAGACCTCAGTCATTCGGGACACTTCAAACTCACCAAACGTTGTTCAGTATCACTACAAGTCTCCTCAGTCTAATCGAGTAAGTTTTTTAGATTTCTTCTTTTTATTTTTAATTATTTAATTATTAAATAAATAAAAATATCAATTATTTTTATAAAGAAGTAGGTTAAGTTGTTATTTTTATATTTCTTCTTTTATTATAATTTTTTTAAAATTATTTTATAAAAAAGAAATATATAAATTAATTATTATTACATTTCTTCACTAACTATTTATTTTAAATATTTTTTAATTATTTAAACAATAAATAAATAAAAATATTTGTTATTTTTATATTTCTTCTTTTAATTTAATTAATTTATAATTATTCAATCAATCATTTCTTCTTTTGATAATTTAAATAATTATTTTTAAGAGAAGAAATATGTAAATTAGTTATTTTTACATTTTTTAGCAACTATTTATTTCTTTTTTTAAATTATACAATAATTAAATTAATTACTTTGTAAAGAAGAAATAAATACATTATTTTTGCATTTCTTCAATAATTAATCATTTGTTCTTTTAATTTAATTACTTTCTGATTATTTAATCAATTTTTTTAAAAAGAAGAATTTTTTTTTTTTAAAGAAGAAATAATTAATTAATTATTTTTAAATTTCTTCTTAATATTTAATCATAAAAGAAGCAATAAATTAATTTTATAAAGAAGAAATATATAAATTAGTTATTTTTACATTTATTTATTTATTTAAATAAATATTTTTTTTTTTTTTTTTAAAAAGAAATAACAAATTAAATATTTTTAAATTTCTTCTTAATATTTAATTATAAAAGAAGAAATAAAAAAAATTTTTTTTTTCTAGAAAGAAGAAATGAGAACAGAACACCTGACACCCCTATCTTCGCAAGACAGAAGTCTAATCACAGGATTATCAAACCTGTCAGTGGACAAAAATGTGTTTGAGAATTCAGAAGATCTACCACAAGTGTTCCAAGTAAAATACCTGGGCTCTGAAGACGCACGTGGTCTCTGGGGAATAAAACACACGCGAAAGCCAGTTGATAACATGGTAGACTTGGCGAAGTCATTACCGACAGGCTCGCTCCCGCTGATGAAACTGATCGTCTCGACGGAAGGTGTGACTCTTGTTCCCTACGCAAGAAAGGCAGAAGGCACCAACATTATCCGCAAAATTTACCCCATCGAGACGATATCCTACGGCGTGCAAGACCTAGTGTACACTCGCGTCTTCTCGATGATAGTCGTCCGCGACTCGGGAAATTTTCGTAAAATTTCCCCCTTCGAGTGCCACGGGTTCGTGTGTGAGTCTAAATACCACGCTCGGCAGATGACTTACGCTTTGGCAACCGCCTTCCAAATTTATTCCCACGCCATCAAGGCGCTCAAAGACGGGAAAGTTCCTTCGGTTAAGAAATTCGCAATTGATCTTCGGACTCCTGAGGAAATCGAGACCGAGCTGGCTCGTGACTCCGAAGCGTAATTATTTTATTTATTATTTTAAATACTTTTTTTCTTTGTTTGTATATATATATATATATAAGAGTATAACGATTGTTGATAAATTTGTTGTTTTCGATACATATTTTATATCAAGACGCCACACGCCTGTCTTTGAGTATGGCTAGTTGTCCAAAGATTCCGATTTTTTAAACAATTGTGCTCTTCAGCACTCTAAATTTCTTTTTTTTTTTTTAATTAAATTAATCAATTTTTTATAATTTAAGCCGCTTTTAAGCAGACCAATATCAATTACATATCGCTTGTACATAAAATATTCATAAATATTAAGTTGTATGTGGGTATTTATTATTTTTATAGATTAGAAACACGGTAGTGTCTTGCACTCAGTAGTTAATTGAGAAATGACCTTGTACTTTCTTAAATATTGACATTTTTAAAGATATAAGCTTATTCTGATGTTACACTCATCGAGACCTTTCATTTGAGTACCCACATCAATTTTTCATATATTTATATATACTATACATATGTATATATGACAAATATATCAAAAATTCATGTGGGTATTCAAATAAAAGGTCTCGATGAGTATAACATCAAAATGAGCTTATATCTTAAAAAATGTCAATAGTTAAGAAAGTACAGTGTAATTTAACAAAAATCATTATTCAATAAAAAATTTTTTGAGTTAAATTAATTTTTCTTTAAAAATTCTCTTTTTTTTTTTTTTTTTTTTTTTAAATTGATCTAACTTGATATAAATTTCAATAAAATACCAATACTATTAAAAAAAGTAAATATCCACAGACCCTAGTAATAAAAGATGTGTTTATAATGTAAATACACCAGGCTTGGGACAATTGTGTAAAAATGCTTATAAAAATAGTAATAATTCATCTATGATAATCAGGCTGATTAATAAAAATAAGTTGACTTCCTTTCCGGGAAGCTATATATAAAAATACTTAATAGATATTATAGCCTCGATATTTTATACACTATTTATAATGTTTGTATTGTAACAAAATAAAGAGAAAAAACATTTTCAATCAAGAGAATCTTTATTTAAAAATTAAAAATTAAGCGGAGTCGTTGAGATTACATTCGGCTGAGTGGTATCAAACCGTGAGTTTTTTCCTCTGCGCCGGAGAACTCTCGGCCTGGGATTTCTTCTCGAGAATGGTGTCACGGAAGGCAGATCGTTGGTGTACCCGTTTTCGGGCGCGTAGGAAGGTTCTTGGGAGCTTGGGTTCTCCTCTACCTCGTTGGTCTCGTTCTCTGGTTCCGGTTCTTCCTTCCCGATGTCTTCGTTAAGGATGTAGTACTGCTCCGACTCTTCGCAGGGAATCGATTCGTTTATTCTCGTGCATACAAATGTTGCCTAAAAAATTAAACTCCATTTTAAAATTCACCTCCAATTAATTAAATAAAATTAGCATTTATTATTACCTGGTTAAAAACTGTTTCGCTAGGACAAATAAAACTCCAGCGACGTGAGCCACGATTTTGGGGCATGCACACGTGGAAAACTTGACATTCATTGTCAATATCTGCATAGTACCCATAAATTCTGTTTTCGCAAGAAAAAGTGTCGACAATATTTTCTCTAATTAATGAAGCGTTGCTCGGTAAAAGTAATTCAGGCATATTTTCCTGAAAAATATTAAAATTAGTCACTTATTTTATGATTATATTGATTATAATAATTTATAAAGTATATTTTTGCATTAAAAAAGTGGAAAAGTCGCTTTCTGCGCTTCGTGTTATGGAAAACACACTTTGCTCGTTGTCTCAACCTCACACAGCAAAAAGAAAAAAAAAAAAAAAAAAAGCCTTTCCCAATTTTTTAGTTACATATTTTATCACTAAGTGGCGATGCATGTATACTTTAAAAATATTTCTTCTTTATTTTATTAATAAAAAATTTTTTTTTAATGGCGGGAAATTCAAAATTTAAATTAAAACTTTTTATTCATCTTAATTTAATTAATAAAATTTTTTTTTTTTTAATTTAATAAATTAATTTAATGAATAAATAAATTAAATAATTTTTTGAAATGGCGGGAAATTCAAAATTTAAATTAAAACTTATAATTTTAGTAAAAAATTAAAAAAAAAATTTTTTTAATAAAGAAGAAATAAAATAATAAAAAGAAAAAATAAATAACTTACCCTAAAAATAGGTGTAGGTCTTCTAGAAAATTTCTGAGTGAATATTGGCGTGACACAAGCACAAAACACAGTAAAAAATAAAATGCCCGACTTGGGACTCATCTTGAAGAAATATAAAATAAATGTTTGTAAGAAGAAGCAGATGCGACTGATGGTTTGCTCCAGAAGAGCAGAAGTTTTATAGCCAGTTCCCCGGTGAATCTTGAATATTTTATGAATGACAGATCGTGGTCAGAAAATTAACATGAGGATCACGTATGCGAGCAGCCACAGCCTTATGATCCTCGAATTGCTGAAGGTCCCGATGCAAATCTCGTCCATCATGCCCAAATTACGCTACATATACCACATAAATATAAGTAAATGAGCGGATAAGTATACATAATGTGTACTTGAGATCCCCGGGAGGCAAATACACTGCATACTGAACAAACAAGGAGCTGGTGGCTTCTGAGAGAGTATCAATGGGGTGAGGATCCTCAGTCCTCAAGGCTTATTGCTCGGTTGTTATTATAATATGTAATAATATGAGGAGCCGGTTGGAATCCAGCCAATTGCGGCCGAAATTTAGTTGGTCACGGTGCACATGGAGGTCGGCTTGTGTCTCCAACGTGATTGATACTCGCTGAATACTTAATACTTATATACTCATGCATATCTGCCAAATTTACCACTGGGAAGACATTGCCTGGTCATTGACCATGGTCTACTCGAGTTTTTTACATACCGGTACTCTTCGAATGCTTCACACGATTTTTTTAGCTTCACAAATGCAGGTGATACATTTTTATTTTTAAGATTTTATCTGAGGAATATTTCAGGCAGATGCTAAGGAATTTTTTAATTTTTTTTTTTCATGATTTATTCATTGGAAAAAATTATAATAATTCTTGGTAATAGAATTTTTGTACTACATATTTTGTGATACTCAAAATCAATATATTAATTACTGACAATAATAGTTATTATTAATGTCAAATTAAAAGTATTTTTGTATGTTAAATTGCATTTTTGAGCTGCATTGATGCCCAAAATCAATGTATTGTCATTTTTAATCAATATTTTAATAATTGATACTATAATATTAAATTTCAAGTGTTTTTATCCGCAAAATAATATTTTTAGACTGCATTGACACTTGAAATCAATGCATAACCATTTTTTGGTCAATATTTTAATTACCAACAATATTAATTATCATTAATATCAAATTAAGAATGTTTTTGTACGTTAAATTGCATTTTTGAACTGCATTCTTAATTTTTTATCAATATTTTAATATTTGATCATACTATTGATCGTTAATAATAAATTCAGAGTGTTTTTGTACTTTAAATTGTATTTTTGAGCTGCATTGACGATCAAAATCAATGTATTGTAATTTTTAGTCTATTTCTCAATTATTTATAGTAATTTTCATCATTAATGTCAAACTAAAAGTATCTTATTTAGATCCAAAATAGGATTCTCACATTACATTGACGCTCAAAATTAATGCAGTGTCATTTTAATTTAGTGTTTTAATAATTGATCGTAATAATGATCGATAATATCAAATTTCATAGTGTTTTAATCCACAAAATAATAATATTTTTAGACTGTATTAACGCTCAAAATCAATGGATATTGATTTTTCAGGCAATTTTTCAATTATTTATAGTAATTTCCATTACTAATATCAAATTAAAGCTATCCTTAACTCACAAAATAATATATTTAGATTACATTGACACTTAATATCAATGCAAAACCATTTTTCCTCAAAATTTCAATTATTTACAATAAAATTCATCATTAATATCAAAAATAAAATACTATCATACTCGTAAATTGCTTTTATTAGACTGCATCGTCACTCAAAATTAATGTAGAGCCATTTTTATTCAATATTTCACTAATTTATATTAAATATCATCATTATTGTAAAATATAAAAAATGTGTCTTTAAACGCAGAATAAATTTTTTTTCATTACATTGACGTTCAGAATCAAATGCAATTTTTAATTATACAGAATTAATGATATTTTTCAATATCTCAGGATCTACTTATCCGATTTTTATAAAATTTTAATGATAATAATAAATTAAAAAATAAAATTCATGATTTAGAATAAATTCTACTTGAAGTTAGATAGTTTAACTCATTAAAAATAAAATTACAGTATCAATAAAGAAAAAGAAAAATAATTACAACTTTTCCGTAGGAAAACAGCCAAGTCATTCGAATAAATAAACATATATTATTTTATTAAATACAAAAAATAATGTACATGCTTATCCTAAAAACTGACCGTATAATTAATAAATAAATAAATTATAATATAAATAAAAAAAGGAAATGTTTGATGGTTGAAGGATTGAATTTGGGTAACGGTAAAAATTTTCAGACTGGAACAATTATGAATCTATCTGGTCCAGGCTCGGTATGCCAGCTGGTTTGGGTCTCTATGGTTTTGGTCGAGCGACCTTTTTTTCCTCCAGTAACTCCCGTGGTCCTCCTCCGGCTCGTAGTGGTGCTGGTGCTGAGCGTGCTCGTAATAAATCACCTTAGAAGGATGATGGCCCTTTTTCAAGTCGATCCACAGCCGGACAAAATTAATTATCAAGCCCACTACCGCGATAGCGAAAAACTTGAACTGAAAGTGAGTCGAGATCAGTTGGAGAATCAGGCTTATCTTCGCTTGGAATAAATGGAACAAGGGAAGAAGTTTGTGCAAAAGCTTCTTTTTCTTCTTGCCAATTTTTATTTTTCTTCCTTCTCCTAAAACACAAAATAATATTTTTATTGTTGTTAACTTAACTTAACTTAACTTATGGTATAAATTAACCGACAAACCACTTCCCGTGGGGCATCGTTAAATTCTTCTCACGTCTATTTATTTTATTGCAGTTTTACTCTACTCGTGTGCTACATTATTGTTTTTTATTATTATTACCAATGTAATGAGTCGCTTTTTTATATTTTAAACATTTATAATTAATTTTTATTACTTTTTTTTTTTTTTTTTTTTTATCATAATTATAGTTAGTATGTGTCAATTTAAAATACATTTAAATTTTATGTAAAAAGGATAAGTAGATCCTGTGATATTTATATAAAAATATTAATACATTGATTTTTAACGTCAATGTGATTAAAAAATATTATTTTTTGTATAAAGATACTTTTAATTTGATATTAAAAATAAAAATAAGTAAAATATTGACTAAAAAAGATTCTACTGTCAAAAATTGAAATATTGATTAAAAAATATTTTTACATTGATTTTCAGTGTCAATATAATTAAAAATGATTTTTAATATTTAAAAAATAATACTAAAGACTAATTTTATAGTTAGTAATTGAAAAATTGACAAAAAAATGTTTTTGCATTGATTTTAAGTATCAATGTAGTTAAAAAAAAAAAAATTTGAATGTATATAGACAGTTAATAAGTGATATTTATGATAAAAAATAGTATCAAAAATTAAAATATAGTTAAAAAAAAAAATAATTTCGCATTGATTTTAAGTGCCAATACAATCAAAAATCATTTTTAATCTTTAAAAAATGCTATTAATTTAATATCAATGTCAAATATTTGAGCCAATAATTCAAAAATTGGTAAAAAAGTATTTTTTTATTGATTTTAAACGTCAATGTAGTCCAAAAAATTTTTTTAGTGGATAAACACACTTAAAAATTGATATTTATGATAAAAAAAAATTGAAATATTGACTTAAAAATAAATTTGTATTGATTTTGAGCGTCAATATAGTTCAAATTTCTTTTAAATCCTTTACAGAGACTATTAATTCAATATTAGAAACAAATTTTACAGCCAGTATTTAAAAAAATGTTTTTGCATTGATTTTGAGCTTAAATACAGTCCAAAAAAAATTTTTTAATGCATACACAGACACTTAAAAATTGATATTTATAATAAAAATTACTATTAAAAATTATTATATTGATTAAAAAATAATTTGGCATTGATTTTGAGCGCCAATGTAGTAAAAATTAAATTCTAACTTGAAATTTCAAGTTTATTTTATCAAAAAAAATTTCTTTACTTAAAAAAAATAATCTTTAGCTAAGAAGAAATAATTTTTTTTGAACATCTAATCAATCAATATATTAATAATAAAAATAAAAACCAAAAAGAATACTTACTTGTATTATCATCAAAAAGATTACTAATTTCATGAACAATAAAACCACTTGTCCTTTCCATAACTTTGCTGAAAGTGACATTGTCCTTGGTGCCAGTAACTTTCAGTTCAATGGCATCCAAAGTGGCGTCTGTTAAATTTTTGACACACCCGAGGCTGTCTTGATCAACAAGACAGTTCAAAACCGCGTTATCTTGCGCACTTTTTCCTCCAACAATTAGTAACAAAAATAAAAAATTCGCTAACTTGATCATATTTAGCTCGATCGGAAAAATAGAAAAATAAACGATGATGATGTGTGTGCACTTAAAGCTCACGAGGAAACAAAACGTCGGTTTTTTATATCAACATCTTCTTATTTACCGAGCCGCGGTCGTGGTAAACCACTTAAACTAAAAAGATTACCACTTTTGAGTGTCGTACCTGGATTTAAACAGGCATATATTTCCCTATTGGAAGTTAAAGGCCAATGAGCGATGAGAATAGGCCTCCCGCTACGACGCTTTCTCAATTTTATTCCCCCTTGAGAAAAAGTAACTTTTTTAAACTGGGACTCACTCCTTTTTATTTTCACCTCCTTTTTATTGATGACATTTCGCTTTCGAATTAATAATATTAAATGCACCAAAATTTTAATTTTAATTTAAACTCAAGATAAAATCCCCGAAAATGAGGGAAGAAATTAGCTCGGAACAAGTTTTACTATTCCGGATTCCGGATGAACTTTCAATAGAAATCGATGTGCTAATTTTCATCAAACGATTAGCTCGAATAATAGGAATTGAATTGTTTTATTGCGTATTAGTATGCAGGCTCACTATACCAGATGCTCTTTATAGGCATCTTTTTTTTCTGTACTGTTTAATGTTTAGTCACGCTTACGCATCCCAATTTAATTCTTGTGATACCTTCTCACACCACTCACATTTACATCGTATATCATTTTTGCAATTAAAGTTATGGTACATTTTTATTGATGTAACACCTGACAACCCAGTTCTTCTATTTTTTAGATTTTCTCTTTTTAATTTTTTCATTATTTTATGGTTTTAAAATCATTTTACTGGCTTTTATGGAAATTTATAAGACTATTAATTGTATTGTTAATTAAAAATGTAATTTTTTGGAATATTATTGTTAAAAATTTATAATTATAAATTTAAAAAGTAATTCTTGTACAAGAAGGGGAAAATTTGGGTTTATTTTCAAAATTCTGGCTTAAGAATTAAAGATAGGGAAAAATTGATTTTTTTTATAGAAAATTTAGTCCTCTATAAAAAATATTCTTTATAGTCTTTAATATTTTAGCCAAAATAAGTATTTTAAACTTTTAAAATAAATATTTGAACTTTAAATCCAAATTTTGGACAAAAAATTAAAGATAGGGCAATATTAATAAAATTTTTTTTATTGCAACTAAAATATCCTTTTAAAAAGGTTTAATATTATTTTTTTCATATTTTGAAAACTAGCGATAGGTTTTATTACTTGATTTTTGGACTAAAAGTTTAAATTTTGAACAAAATATGAGAGATATTTTGATAAAACCTTTTACAGGAAATTTAATTCTTAATAAATGTTTCTTATAATTTTTTTGTATTCAATATTTTAGCTACAATAATTAATTTAAACTTTTAAAAACTAAAGAAAAGTTCTAAAATAAATTTTTGAACTTTAAATTCAAATTTTGGGTCAAATATTGAGTGTAAAAATTATTCTCAGAGTTGTCTATATTTTATATTTCACTGTAAAATTTTCGCTAAACAATTAATTAATTAATTAATAATTATTAATAAATACATGTTGAATTATTTTTGAAATCTAAAATCAAATGTTTATTTTTTTTTTTTTTTTTTATTAATGTTTCAAAATATTCAATTTAAAAATAAACTTTTTAAAGAAGAAATATGTCCAAAAAATTCTCAAATCTAAAAAATTAAAATTTTAGACATTATAAAAATGAATAGTAATTAAATTACAACTTTTTGATTCAATATTTGACCCAAAATTTTGAATAAAAATTAAAAAACTAGTTTTATTATTAATTTTTCAAAAGTTTAATTTAAAAATTAAATTTTTAAACAAAAAATATGTCCAAAAATTCACAAACTTAAAAAATTAAAATTTTAGACATTAAAAAAAATCAGTAATTAAATTATATAATTCATAATTTCATTTTCACAAAAACTGAAATAAGCGAAAAAAAAAAAATAATACTTAAACACGGAATCAAACTCACACTATAAAAACCCAATCTGGACCAAAATGCCGTTAGCTTTACCGTAAGTGGGCCACGCGTTGTCCTCAACGTTGGCATCAACACGTCCAAGTTATTCAATCTCGTTAATATTCAGAATTCGGTAAGTAAAATAAAAAAAAAAAACCCAAGTTATAAAAAAGTATAAATTTTATTAAACCAAATCAGCCGAACCATCCCGAATCATCATCGTCATACGGCGAGTAATAATGATCATAGTGTTCGGGCATCTTCGGCTGGTGATTAACAACAACAACTTCCGACTTGGGACGGAAACTAATGATTAAATTGTAAATCATTATAATTAACGCGAGTTTCCCGATAAAGAGGCTCTTCAGCAGGGACGCCTTTATTGACGCAATCGCTCCCGGGAGAGATAACACCTAAATAATAATAATAATAATAATAATAATAAAACACTGATTAGTTTCTAAAATATCAAAGTTTACCTTAAAATATAAATTTAGAAAACTTTTACCTGCATCATCAGTGGGATCATCATGAGCATACTCCCGACCCGCTGCATGAGACTAGGCTTCTTATCATTATTGTTATTGACATTGACAGCATTATTATTACCGTCACTGCCCGACAGATACTCGTGCCGGCTCTCTAATCATTTATTAACTTTTTACTCACACTTTATTAAGATAATAAATAATTAATTTGTAAACAAACCTGATAAAATTTGTTCCGAGTTGGTCGAGTTTCCTTTCTCACATTTGGAGGAATTTATTTTTATTGATAATATTATTATTGTAATTAACAGAAGAAGAAATAGCGACTTTATCATTATTTGTTGCTAAATATTTTATTGTTCTATCGATGAACTTAACGCGAAAAAGACCGGATAGAACTGATCCTCCCACTGAGAAAACTAGCGCGCTGGACAGACCAAGAATGCATTTTTATTGTCCAGTAAGCGGATTACTCCAGTGCACGCGATTTGCAGTGGAACGGCTGTTATAAACGGACTTTTCCTGTCTATTGACCAACCGATCATTTTTCTTTGGATTTGTTTTTAATAATTTACTTATTTTAATTCATTTATGCAATTATAAGCTACAATTATTTCTCTTAGTAAATCTCGAACTGTTTTTTATTTAAAATTTGTTGTATTTTTTTAAAAATTACAAAATTATAATCTCTATCTCTAGATACATAATAAATCACCTTGTATCTAGGGAAATATTGACATTTTTAAAGATATAAGTTCATCTTGATGTTGTACTCTTCAAAACCTTTCATTTGAGTACCCACATCAATTTTATATATATATATGTTATATATTTATATATATCATATATATGTATATATGAAAAATGCATGTGGGTACTCAAATAAAAGCTTTTGATGAGTGTAACATTGAAATGAGCTTAAATCTTTAAAAATGTCAATATTTAAGAAAGTACAGTATAATTTAATAACAAATATCTTGGGAAATATTGACATTTTTAAGAAAATAAGCTCATCTTGATGTTATATTCTTCAAGGCCTTTCATTTGAGTACCCACATCAATTTTTCATATATTTATATATATTATATATATATATATATATGAAAAATATATCAAAAATACATGTGGGTATTCAAATGAAAGCTCTTGATGAGTATAACATCAGGATAATGAGCTTATATCTTTAAAATATATATGTATACATGAAAAATGGTTGCTAGTAATTTTTAAAATGAAAATTTATTGACAATTTTAATTTACAGTAATAGAAAATTTCAAGGCCTTTCATTTGAGTACCCCATCAATTTTTACATATATTTATATATATTATATATATATATATATATGAAAAATATATCAAAAATACATGTGGGTATTCAAATGAAAGCTCTTGATGAGTATAACATCAGGATAATGAGCTTATATCTTTAAAATATATATGTATACATGAAAAATGGTTGCTAGTAATTTTTTAAAATGAAAATTTATTGACAATTTTAATTTACAGTAATAGAAAATTAAATTAATTAAAGAAGAAATATTTTTTTTAATTAATTAAAATTTTAAAATTTCTTCTTTTAATCTAATTTAATTTTTCTATAATAAAAACTAAAAATAAAAATACAATTTACAACTTTGCGACTGATATAAATATCACAAAAAATAATCCGCAAATAAAATAATAAAAATCTTAATAATAATAATACATTAAAAGTACCTTTGGTCGGTTTTTATCTTGAGAAAAAATAAAGTTTTAAGATGTAATCTTAAAACATTATTTCTTCCAAGAGGGTAATTTATAATTTACAAGTTTAAATAAAAACAATAAAAATAAATAAATAATCTGTTATGGCCACTTGATAGATAAACTAAATTACAGGTAGTAAAAAAAAATAAGGGGTCTAATATCCATTAATATGAGGAGGATGCTGGATCGGATGCTGTCCTTTGTGGTAATAATCAGCTGACGCATCATATCCATATCCCATGGAATTATCATAGTGATTACTATTACTCGGGTCATTATGGACGTGGAAGTGAACCGGTGGAGCCGGTGGAGCTGGTGGTATCCACGCTGGTCTCTGCGATTGAAGAGAGGCATAAAATTTACCGAAAAATGCACTCAGTTTTAGCACCAGCAGAATAACTCCTGAAAGTAATATTTCTTTGTTAGTTTCTTTAATTAACACCCCTTTTACTTTTTATCCAAAGGTCTTAGTGGATACGATTTGCATAGCAAGTGGCTCTTAGGTCGGATCTATGTCAAAGTAACCGTGTCACGATTAGTGATTCAGGCCCAGTATGCCAAAAACAATTTCTCTTTGATTATATTATAAGTTTCTTTTCTTAACATGTTTGTTTTTTCTTGAAGGCTGTTTTTGTTGGCCTTTAATTTAGACCGGAAATCGCGGTCAGTTAAATTTCGATTTTTTGATCGTGATTAATTTTTTTTTTTTATGGAAATAGAGCAAAAATAAGAAAATTATTTTTTATTGTATAAATTTATAAGTTAAAAAAAAATTTATTGATTTTTATTGGAATTTTAGTTAATATTATGGAAAATATTTTAATTAAAATTTAATATAGAAAGTTAAAATTTGAATAAATTTTATAATGTTAATATTTATGGAATTTTTTATTAAAAATAAAATTTTAATAAATCAATAGAATTTTTTAATAAATATTTTAATGGAATAATAGAATTTTCCATTAAAAACAATTTTTTTAAGAGACTAATGGAATTTTTTTTAGTAAAATTTTAAGGAATTATTTGAAATTTCCATTAAAAATAGAATTTTAATGGAATAATGGAATTTTTCATTAAAAATAAAATTTCAATAGACTAATGGAATTTTTTTAGAACAATTTTAATGGATAAATAGAATTTTCCATTAAAAATAGAATTTTAATGAATTAATGGAATTTTCTATTAAAAATAGAACTTTAATAGATTAATGGAATTTTCCATTAAAATTAGAATATTAATGGAATTTTATGTTTAAGAAAAAAATTCAAGAGACTAATGGATTTTTTTAAATAAAATTGTAATGGATCAATAGAACTGTCCATTAAAAATAGAATTTTAATGGAATAATGGAGATTTCGATTAAAAATAGAACTTTAATGGATTAATGGAATTTTCCATTAACAAAAAAAAAAAAATCAAAAGATTAATGGAATATTTTTAGTAAAACTTTAATGGATCAATAGAACTTTCCATTAAAAATATAATTTTAATGGATTAATGGAATTTTCTATTAAAAATAGAACTTTAATAGATTAATGGAATTTTCCATTAAAATTAGAATATTAATGGAATTTTATGTTTAAGAAAAAAATTCAAGAGACTAATGGATTTTTTTAAATAAAATTGTAATGGATCAATAGAACTGTCCATTAAAAATAGAATTTTAATGGAATAATGGAGATTTCGATTAAAAATAGAACTTTAATGGATTAATGGAATTTTCCATTAACAAAAAAAAAAAAATCAAAAGATTAATGGAATATTTTTAGTAAAACTTTAATGGATCAATAGAACTTTCCATTAAAAATATAATTTTAATGGATTAATGGAATTTTCTATTAAAAATAGAACTTTAATAGATTAATAGAATTTTAATGGAACTTTTCATTTAAAAAAAAAATCAAGAGACTAATGGAATTATTTAAATAAAATTGTAATGGATCAATAGAACTTTCCATTAGAAATATAATTTTAATGGAATAATTGAAGATTCCATTAAAAATAGAATTTTGATAGAATTATAGAATTTTTGTAGTATAATTTTAATGGATCAATAGAATTTTCTATTAATAATAGAATTCTAATGGACTATTAAAATTTTCCATTAATAATAACAAAAATTATATAATTATTATAATATCCTGACCAAAAAAAAAAAAAAATTTACAAACCATAAACAATTGCAATAAATAATAAAAAAAAAAAAACTCACCAACAGTTAAACCTTTCAATGAAATAATAGTAAGTACAACCAATAACGTCATAATCACGCCCATTTTAAATATCATTGGCATCATCATAAACTGTAAACGTTTAATCCCAAACGTCCTGCCTAAAAAATATAAATTTATTGTCAATAAAATAAAATAAAATAAAAATAAAAAATAACAAAAATGATGATGATTTTATCGATCAATGATTATAAATGAAATATTAAAAAAAAATAATGTTACCTTGAGCGCTGTAACCTAAGATATAATCGACAAGTTCAGTAACTGGATTATCACGTTTGGAATTTAAATCCGTGTTGCTTAACTCCTCAGTGATTGCCAGAGAGGTCCCGAACCCGAGCCCAAGTAGAACAAAACTCCATAAACATACTTTGGACGTAATTACCGGCATTTTTAGTCTTCGTTTTTCGCAGATCTTTCAATCAAGAATTATCTTCTTGTTCTTAATTTTAAAAACTTCACGGTTGAAAAAAACGTCACTGAGTTTGAGGTAGATGTTATTCGGCAGACGGGCCAACTCTAACTTACGGCTCGTAGGCTTTCAAAGTGCGATCAACTGAGTGAAGGTACAGTAAAACGTTAAAAGTGGTATACGTGATAGGTCTCCAGGTCTTGGAGAGCCAACCCGATATAACTGCCTGTGGTTACTCGTTATTCATCCAATCCTCTTCCTTCTATTATTTTCTAAGGTGCCGTCGTTCGGAACAGCCGACAGAATGCGAAAAATTCGGTCCCGGCCTTTATATTTGCTGCTCCTACTCTTTTTACATTTTTTAGAGCAATTAATATTCGCAGCAATTCGCGATATTTACCGTACGCAATTGTAATTATCTTGTTAATTTATAAGGAAAAAAGTAAAAGTTTTTGTCTATTTCGTAGGATTTGTTCTAAATAAAAAACTTTACAGTTAAAAATTCCGCACGGCAAAACACCGCAAACAGTAAAAAATTTATTATCAATTTTTATTTTAAATATTAATTTGCACTTCAAAAAATTTAAATAAAATAAAATTAGTACTCTCTACTTACTCCTCTAAAATTATAGAATTTAATTCCGCAATCAGAACATTAAAATATTGATCCTAAAAAATTTGAATTGGCAAAGTGTTCTCAGCCTTTTTTAACAGCCCAAACTGAACAGGGTTCGAGTCCGGTCTCGGGTAAATTAAATACTATTTTTTATTAGTCAAAAAAAATATTCTCAAGTTTCAAACCAAAAAAAAAAATTATTTTTTTTAACAATCTTAATTATAAAAAAAATTTTTTTGCTTCACGGCATCTTATCAAATTATTATTCAACAATGATACAGTTATTGCGCAAAGCATACAATTCCATATACAAGCATTAAAAAGCAGTAAGAATAATTACCACAGCTTATAAATCCTAGATTAGCAGAATAAAATAATCATTACCATAATGAGCTCGCCAGACAATTTTCGACTACTGCAATTTCATACCTCTGGTGAGGTATTAAATTACCAGATATTAAACAAAAATGTTAATTCAATAAATAGTCAAGTTCGGTTATAAACTGAGACCCGATAAAATAATTTAAAGATTATTTAAAGTAAGAACCTCTCTAGAGAATCAATAATCTCGATAAAATAAATGAAATAAATAAAATAAATACTGGTTTAGCGGATGGTCATGCACCCCATCTACGGTGAAGGGACAAGGGACAAGGTACAAGGTCTTCCAAGCAGTTATCCACTTGGTACTAAATAAGTATAAATTATACTAAAAAGTACACGGTGTACTTAGTGCTCTTGTCAGCAAGAAACTCCGGAGATTCCAAAAAGTTTTTATCCTTTGCTTCAAGGCCAACGTTTTATCTCCGATAATTCCTCTTATACATAATACCATTTACAGATTTAATAGTTTGCCATTAATATAGTTTAAATTACAGTTTATTGTATAAATATCTTGGATAATCATTAAAACAGAAGGAAAAAGGTACAAATTAATGGACTAGTTAAAAGGCAGACCTTGAACCTGTCTGACAACCCTGAAAGGATCCGAGAATAAGTTCTGGAGGAAAAGGAAAAATTTCCAGCACACATAGACATCCTGTTTATCCTCTTCTGCGAAGACATAGACAGGTTTTCTGCGAATGTAGATATGTGGTTCATCGTCCTTTCCTTTCCTCTCGCTAATCCAGCTCTTGCTCCTGCTCCTGCTCCTGCTCCTGCTCCTGCTCCTTTTCGTCTTCGTCTTCTTGTTCTCGGTCTTGTTCATCTTGACTGGTCTGGCGTTCGCCTGGTTCCCATATAGACGAGGGTTGCTCGGCTCAGCTGCTCCACTAGTCAAGGCATTCGCTTCGCGGCCGCGACCATGAAAGCACGCGATATTTATTCCACTGTTGCTATTTTATCACTTATCGGTGGTGTTGTCTCTCAGAGTGTTAACGATGACCCCCAAGTGACCCTCAGCATCCAAGAGGACCATCAAGACCATCAAAAAGCTTCTGCCTTGCTTCAAGATCAAGGACAAGATGTCCCAGCCAGCCAAATCGGTAAGTCTAGTGATAAGGGCGAAGGGATCCGGAGGTTCGACGCCGAAATTGAAGATAAATCTGACGCTAAACTCACCAATTTGTCAATTGATGATCGGGTGAAGCGCGAGCCACTTTCTGAGTCAGACACTCGTGATAATGATAATCACTCGCGGGTTCATCAAACTCCGGAATTGATTCCTGTCAAGGTGGACCAGGTTCTCCAATCGGAAGTTAATTATGCAAGAAAATCGCTGCTTGTTGATGAAGACGAGGTCAGAAATGAAAGAAGTGACAAAGAGAAGATTAATATTGACGAAATTCCTGCTTCAGATATTCAGCATTGGAAGGAACAGGCGGTGCTTCTTCAGGAGCAGATTAAAAATGAAAGCTACTTGTCGTATCTTAGAGAGGCGGAAATCCTTCCGGGAGTGCCGAAATTTACCGAGATTCAAGTTTTAGATCTGTTGAAAAAAGTTGCGCCTAAAAAACTTGACGAGTCTTATTTTGACAAAGCTAACACTTCTGCGCTGAGCAAAGAGCAACTGGAGGCGCTGAAATGCGCGGAAGGTTTTGTTAAGGAAAACCAGAGGAAAGGCTTCGCAGATGATATGCTTGAGTGTATTCGCGGGTTGAACTTCATGAACTGCATGAGGATCTTTATCTGGCCAATAATCGTAGACAATGTTCCAGAATCTATTACTCAGCGGTTTCCGACGCTGCCTTTAGAATTCTCGTTGTCGGATTTTTTACCGGTGAATCGTGAAACTCCAAAGATTGTCCGAGCAACCGCGGGTGCTCCTCAACAACGGCTGATTTCTCCAGAGCTGGTGATCTCCAATATCCTGAAGGACGCGTTGGAAGGCGGAAATTTGAAAGACTACGAGAAAATCCCGACGTACATTGACGAAAAAAACGAAACTTTTGCTCAAATTCTGACCCCAGGTCAGCTTGAGATTCTCCAGTTGGCGGAGAAATTCCTGCCAGAGTCCTTGAGACAGGACTACGCCAATAGAATGTACTCTTGCGTGACGAGGTTCGAGTACTTCAGCTGCATAAAATTCTTCACTTGGCCGATGATAAAGCAGAACTTCCCGGCGCTTCCAGAGTTTCCGGACTACCAAAGCTGGTACCCAGCGAGCATGAACGTCTTTCCGGGGTACCCATTGATCCCATTTCCGGAGAATCCATCAAAGGATGGCGAGCTGCCAGAAGTCGTCGAGGCAGAGTTCAAGAATCGACGACCACGCCCTGAGACATTGATAGTTCATATTTTGAAAAATACGTTAGATCAGCAACCGAGACAGCAACTATTGTCATCAGCAGTACGTTTGCAGGATGATAATATTAAAGCGATGACCAAAGAACAGCTGGCTTCGATTCAGATGGCTGAGCAGCTGATTCCTATAGAGCATCGAGCGGAGTTTGTTAATACCAATGTCGATTGTATGAGACAGTTCAATTATCTGACCTGTCTGAGGTACGTGACCTGGCCGACTGTCAGGAAATGGAAGCCTAACATGCCGAATTGGTCCGAACTTTTCGGTCAGTTCGCTCAGTTTGGAATTCCTGACTTTTCGTCTACTCCCTCCTCTACCACGATCACCATACCCACTTATCCTATTTGGTTTCCTGGAGGTGGGGGATCCATTGGAGGGCTAGAAGGTGGAGCCATTGGAGGGTCTATTAGTTCTGGAATCGGAGGAAGTGGCGCCAGTTCCGGAGGTAATGGAGGTTCAAATCACGGAGGTGCGGCAGCTGGAGGCGGTTCTGGAGCAAGTGGGGGTTCTAATCAAGGAGGTACGATAGTTGGAGGTGGTTCTGGAGGAAGTGGGGGTTCTCATCAAGGAGCTGCGATAGCTGGAGGAGGAAATGGTGGAAGTGGTTCGGGAGGAAGTGGAGGTTCTCATCAGGGAAGCTGGGGTCAAGGTGGAAGCTGGAACGGAGGAAGCGGTAGCAGTGGAACTGGAGGTACCAGTGGCGGTTCCGGAGGAAGTGGTAAGCTATAATTTTTTTTATTTGTTACCTTTAAAGTATTGATATTTTTTTTTTTATTTTAGCTGTTAATATTATTGAAGGAAATAATCAAGGGGTTACGGCCCAACCTGGAAATGGTGGGATCATTATTATTATTCCTGGCCAATCGGGAGGATCTGGAAGCTCAAGTGGATCCAGCAATACAGGAAGTTCTGGAGTTTCTAGCGGTAGCAACTGGGCTAGTGGAAGTCATCATCAAACTTCGGGAGGTAAAGCTTTGGTATTGATATTTACTTGAAAAAAGTTTAGGTTGAGTGTTTTATTGGTTTAATTTATTGTTAGGCACTACGGGAGGTACCAGTGGTAGTCACTGGGGTTCAGGAGGAGGAGGATCTGGTGGACAAACTGGTTCCGGCAGTTCTGGAGGACAAGGAAGCGGTGGAAGTGGTAATTATTTTTTTTAGTATGTAATTAGTAGTCGATTTGATTTATTTAAAGTTTCATTTTTGCAGGTATTAGTGGAGGATCTGGAACTGGAGGTTCAGGTGGTTCTGGAGGTATTAGTGGTGGATCTTGGGAAAGCAGTCACGGTGGTTCTAATGTTGGTCAAGGTGATTTTAAGTCATGTATTTTTTTGGTCTCGTGTAAATTTATAAAAGATTCTAAAATATATAATTTATACAGGTGGCTCAACGTCAGGAGGTTCTGGAGGTATTAGTGGTGGGTCTTGGGAAATCAGTCACGGTGGTTCTACTGCTGGTCAAGGTGATTTTAATGTCATGTATTTTTTTGGCCTCGTGTAAATTTATAAAAGATTCTAAAATATATAATCTGTACAGGTGGCTCAACGTCAGGAGGTTCTGGAGGAAGCGGTGGTAATCAAGGTGGTGGTGTTACAATAATCATTCCTCCAGGAGGATCTGGAGGACATCACCATGGATCTGGTATTCATCATGGAACTGGAGGCTCTGCTGGATCTGGAGGTCAAGGTAGTCACGGAAGTCAGTGGGGTTCCGGAAACCAATGGCAAAGCGGAGGAAGTTGGGGTTCTGGTGGTAGACCACCAGGATTACCCGGATTGCCTGGAATATCTGGAGGATCAGGAGGTAATCAAGGATCTAGTGGAGGAAGTTGGGGTTCTGGTAGTGGACCTGGATTCCCTGGATTACCCGGAATATCTGGAGGGTCTGGAAGTAATCAAGGATCCAGTGGAGGAAACTGGGGCTCTAGCGGAGGTTCAACCGGCGGATCCGGAATATCTGGAGGATCTGGAAGTAACCAAGGATCTGGTGGAGGAAACTGGGGCTCTGGCGGAGGTTCGACCGGCGGATCCGGAATATCTGGAGGGTCTGGAGGTAATCAAGGTTCTGGTGGAGGAAACTGGGGCTCTAGCGGAGGCTCAATTGGTGGATCCGGAATATCTGGAGGGTCTGGAGGTAATCAAGGATCCAGTGGAGGAAACTGGGGCTCTAGTGGAGGTTCAATCGGCGGATCCGGAATATCTGGAGGGTCTGCAGGCAATCATGAATCCAGTGGAGGAAACTGGGGCTCGAGCGGAGGTTCAATAGGCGGATCTGGAATATCTGGAGGGTCTGGAGGTAATCAAGGACCTAGTGGAGGAAACTGGGGCTCTAGCGGAGGTTCAATAGGTGGATCCGGAGTATCTGGAGGATCTGGAGATCATCAAGGGTCCAGCGGAGGAGGCATAGACATCAGCGGTGAAAGTTCAGGCGGCAGTCACGAGTCCGGTGGAGATGGATCAATCTCAGGTTCAGGAGGTGATCAAGGAACCAGTGGCGGAAGTGAATCGGGAGGAGATATAAATGTTGGTGGTTCTGGAGACGGTCAAGGATCTGGAGGTGGTTCCGAAATCGATCAGGGATCAGATGGAGGCATAGACGCTGGTGGTTCAGCAGGAGGTGGTAAGTACAATTTAGAATAATCTACTTAAAAACAAAAACTAAATTAAATCATTTACAGATGGAGGTAACCAAGGCGGTTCTGAAGGCGAATGTACATGTTGTCCAACAAGATCTACCAATACAAGAGATTCTATCCAGTATCTCAAAGGAATCGAACCCAAAATCATCGACATTCTTCACGGTCTACGTTATTCAATGATAAACTCTCCAATTCATCGTACATTCATCGCTGACAGACAGATGATGTCTCAAACGCGACTCACCAATGAACAACTGACCATTTTAGAACTATCCGAAAGCATGGTTCCATTTTCAGCGCGCCGCGATCTCATCTCCCGATCACTAGGTTGCCTTCAAGGAGGTGCTGACTTTATGGTCTGCACCAAAAACGTTATCTGGCCGTTCCTACAACTCTACATCGAAAACATCCCCGAATTTCCTGCAAACACCGAAGCATCTGCTATCAACAACTACAAATTTCAGTCAGCAGGCGAAAAGCACGGGCTTTTTGCAAGGAAAAGCCAACAGCCGATTACAAACCGGAGGATTTCTTCTTCCCAAGGCAATTTTGGACTCTTAAGATATCCTAACATTCAAATTGCAGCAAGAACACCTTTGCAGTCAGGTATCTCTGCTAAATCTGACGACCAGCCAATCATTTCCGTCACTGGTACCCGATTCGTGCCAATTTACTCCGACCATCCCGAGGGAATCATTCTCAACATTCTCAACGCAATGGCAAAGTCTAAACCCGAAGCTCAAGAATTCAGCAGCAAAATCGCAAATTTTCCAGAACTTCTAAGTCCAGCGAACCAACAACAAGAAAGTATCTTGAAGTTAAGCGAAAGCCTGCTCCCTGAGAATGCTAGAACAAGTTTTTTTGAGAACATGTTGACCTGCTTGCGTTCAAACGAGTTTGTCGTTTGTTCCCGTGATATAATGTGGCCTCAATTGATCGAATACTATCCAAGGATGCCCAGTTTTCCGGCATTCCAAAGGATTCTAAACTCTGGAGCTGCTGGAGATTACCTCCAACCAATAGCAGACAACGCTGCGCCTATCGCTGAGACAAACGTCAAGACAGACCTAGCTGGAGACGCGATGATCACCATTACAGACACCCAATTCGTGCCAATCAGCGAAAGACCAGAAGAAGTGTTGTTGAAGCTTCTGAAATCAATGGAGGCATCAACCCAGAATCCTTCTTACTCATCAATCGCCAAGTCTCCTGCATTTGGCACCCAGTTCACTAAATCCCAGTCTGATGTTCTTGTAACAGCAGAAAATCTACTGCCTCCAACATTCCGGGAGGTCTTTATCATCCGAATGAGTGATTGCACCCGCGGAAACAGTTTCTTGGACTGCATGAGAGACATCTCTTGGCCCACTTTAGGCCAGTTCTACTCCCGTCTGCCTAGTTTTCCGAACATAGGGACTGAAGTGAACTTGCCAGCAGAGAAGCCGCAGCAGTCAGCTCTGCTTCCTCCTCACGTAGAGCCAAATTACGCTGAACAAGTCCCAGAAAGGATTGAGTTCCTTCCTCTGTCTCAGTATCAGCCAAATAACTTCCAACCTTTCGGGTTGAATCCATATACCGAGGAGTACTTGGGATTACAACAACAAGCATCAACTTCGTCAGTAGGTGAACCATCTATAGCATACACCAGAGCTTCTTAAGCCTGTTAAGCTTCTAGAGCATTTAAATACTATTTGTTTTACAGGGTCAACATTAACACCAGCATTTGCCGAGCAACCTAAAACTCTTCTAGATATTTCCCAAGAGAATACTCTTCAAAATTTGACCCGTCTACGTAGAAATATAGACAATCAATCAAATGTTAATTTAACTGAGACGGATTTTATTGAATTGCTGAACAAAATCCTGGAGAAGAATCCAGAAACTGATCCCAAAAAGCCATTTGTTGAGACGCTTAATTCAACTGTCAAGGACTTGCTAACTGATAATCAATTGAAGATTTTGAACATGACGGAGCGGCTGGGGGTTTACAATACTCGGGGAGTAATGGGTCAAGTGATTAACTGCATCACCGGGCTTAGTTTCATCAGGTGCTTGGGGATTTTCATGGTACCTGTCATCATGAACATGCTGCCAAGTCTAGGTCTTGGTTTGCCTTTTGGTCGCTCAAATTCGGACAATGAAGACAATCTGATGAAGAGCAAGGAATCAGTAGAGAATCTTCTGCTTGATTGGTACAAAAGCCTAACCCAAGAGAAGTTCTCGACGTTTTTTGGGCTTTTGGAGTTCCAAGGCTACGGAAACGGTGAGATTGGAGTCAAATTGTCAGGATTCAGGCAAGCTAGAGCCAGGATAAAGGACCACAAGAATTTGCCGAGTATTCTGACGATCATCAGCGACATTATGGAGGACGTGTTGGACCCCAAGCCCGAGAATGTCAAGGTCAAGAAAATAAAGCGGCAGAGGAGTTTAGAATTGAATTCTTTTGACGAAGTGAATAGCGATGACAGAATCATCCAGATGCTCTTAGAAAGGCTGAAAGCCAACAATAGCAACGTTGATGGTGATGCAAATAATAAAAAGAAGTATTTAACGATAGAAGATGCCTATCGCGCATTCGAAGTTCTTTTTGGCGCGAAATTTAAGGGCAGGCTTTTGGAAGAAGAAACTTATCAAAATGACAACTTTGCAGAGGATTCTACTAAAACTTCGACGGAAAATGAAAAAAAGAAGGATGAATTGGTCATCAAGTTACCTCAGTTAAATGAAAACATTGAATTAGCGAGGAAGTTGACGAAAACTATAACAGAATTGTCGAGAAAGATGAAAAATAACATGATGCAAATGGGGCCTGGTGTGGGATTAGCTGTTACTTTTCTCCTGCAAGTGGCGCTAGCTCACGCGCGCGCAGCCGCGTCAGTTGCCGAAGTGATCAGCAATATGGCGCTGGGCTCCGCCATGTTTACTTTCATGCGTCAGACATGGTTCGCGCCTGCGCAACAGCCCAAAGTTCACTATATTCACAATCACGAGCCGTCTGAAGTGGGGATTAATTGGTCTTAACGTTTTTTAGGTTATCTAGAAGAGATTTATGATAAAAATGATCGACAAATCTACTGGGGAGGCTGCAATATTAATTTATCGGGGATTTGGGTAATGGGTATTGTTTAAACACTTTGTGATTCTGTAATAATTAACTTACGAGATTCATACATATCTTCATCCATTTAGTTTTAATCTTTTCATGTTAAATGTAATCATTTAATTAATAAACTGTAATAATTTTGGACTTGTGTTTTAAATATACATTTTTTCAACATTTCAAAATAAATTTAAGAAATGATTATAGTCTTCAGGGATTTTCTAACGCATCACTTTCACTTATTAATAGAAAATCCCTTTATAAAAGCATGGAATTTTAAAATGAATATTATCTGTCGATAATAAATATATTTTCGAAATTTAATAATGGAGAACGTGAAAGCCATCCAGAAGGAGAAGAGGTGGACATTAAGGTGGGTATACGTCTTACCTTTCTCTTTGCCTCGGACTTTCTTGGATTGCTGCTTTGAGAACTCAGTTCTCAAACAAACTCCAGTGAGAAACGATCATGAATCAATCACGTGAATAGTTGTAAACATTTTTTATAAATTTTTAAGTAATAGTTACTGCCGATAAATAAACCGCGCAGTTATGCGCCTGTTTAAGAGGAGCCCAACTATTTCTATATCGATTCTCATGTGAATCTATCCCAGGTTCGTGTAAAACAATTCTTTTTCTTTAATTAAACCTAGCTTGAAGAAACTTAGAGCGGCTCAATTTGCGTAATTGTAATTTAGCGACACTTTTAAGCCGCAAAAATTTAAAATCTGGTGATTTCAATGCAAGAAACGTTGGCGTTTATTATTTATGAATCGAGATTAGTTTTTAAGGACATTGTTCGCCCCAAGGCTAACCGGTAACTTAAAATAAAACCTACTTTTTTATTTATAAGTGATTTTAAATGAAAATATCCTTCCAAGGAATTTTAGAAAATCCCGCAAAATTGTCATTAAAAGATTAAATTTGTCATGACATTAATTACACGTGCTCTCATTTCCTGGTAATTACTAGGAATAATCGTCCCAGGAAGCGCGGCTGTTAATAGGACACGCGTTTCATTCGGAAAAAATTAATTAACTCGGAACTTTTGTTATTCTTCATTGTTGATTATATTTAAATGCTTGTTACTTTTATCTGGTAAATATTTAATCCTTGATACTAATATTAATAAAAGTAAACGCAATGACCGCGCAGACCCAACAGAGCATAACGAGCGTTGGTGTCTACATTCACCTATTTATTACTCGACATGGTTACGCAAATTGTAAAACTAAGCCAACTTGTTTTTTTTTTTTTCTTTTAATTCCGTATAATATTTTTGTCATTTATGGAAATCATGGGAATTGTTTTTCTTCTTTTTAATATTAGAAATTTTTATTGCATTGTTAGTTTTTTCTTTTTAACCAACAGTATTTTAATTAGTATAAATGTTTAGGTAAAAAATTAATGAAAGTATTCAAACCGGGATTCGAACCCGTGACCTTTAATTCTAATCAATTTCTTTCAGATCAATACAATTGAAGAAATAAAATAATAATTAAGATAATTATTAATTCTATTTTATAGTCTAATATTCAAAGAAGATATAATAAATAAATTTAATTAATTTTTTAATCATTGGAAGCAAAAATAATAAAAAAGTGATTTTAACCAAGCCAGGAATCGAACCTGGTTTTTTCTAGTCAAAGTTTCAGTAGTCTAATAATTAAACGTTTTTCTTGGAATCTAATGATTCGGGTATTTTTTTTTCTATATTTTGAATGAATAAAAAATTGTCAGTTCATAAATAAAATAATACATAAAATTGTCATTAATTTTATTTAAAATGTGAGCTGGGTTGTAATAGACGTGGGTAGTGATTAAAGGATGAAATAAAATGAATATTTATTACAGAAAGATGCTGATGATCCAACTGGTCTTACTGGGACTTGTATTGCCAATTAGGGGTGGTTATATACCACCCGGACCGCGATACACATGCCCAAAAGATCATTTTTACATATACCCCTGTGAATGCCTGCGAGGAAGTGACTCAGGTCTATTTATAAGATGCGAAAACACGAACCTAGCGAGTTTGAGCCTGGCTTTCGCCAATTTGGGAAACGAAGCCGCGCCTATAGAGGAATTGACGCTCTACAAATGTAACATCGGTGAGTATTCAATAAACAATTATTAAGTAGAATCAACTGATCAATTGTCTGACAAATTGTTATTTCAGCTAGATTTTACGGACCAGCGCTCTACCCGCTGGATGTTCGCGTGATAAGGATAATCGATACTCCGCTGAAGTCGATTGAGGAGCACAGCTTTCTCGGAGTTAATAGAACACTTCAAGAATTGTACATCGAGAGAACCGAGTTGGAACGTTTTCCCCGCGAGGCGCTGCAGATATTAGGAAACTTATCGATTATGAAAATAAAGGGAAACAAATTAACGTCACTGCCCGGGAACAGCTTCAGTGGGAGTATGCTCGCGGGAAAGCTTGAGAAATTAGAAATTAGCGATGGATTATTGTCATTACTGCCCGCCGACGCGTTGATACCGCTCAAGAAACTAAAACACCTCGATTTGCATGGAAACAAAATCGGCGAACTAAAACGGAACCAATTCAAGGGTCTGAGAGACACTGAAGTTCTTGATTTGTCCCACAATCTAATCAGCAAGTTAGATCCCTCTCATCTTGCAGATCTCACAAAAATGGGCTCTTGCAATCTTTCGCACAACGCAATTGGTGAGCTAAAACGCGGAACCTTTGCAAGGAACACAGTTCTGAAGGTGTTAAATCTAAGAAGCAACAAGATCAGAAAACTAGACTCGAACACCTTCAGAGGAATGCGATTTCTTCGCAGGTTGTACTTGAGCGACAACCAGATCAACGACGTTGGTCGCGGGACCTTTGGTTCGATAACCAGGATCGGTACGATTGATCTAGCAAGGAATCAAATCAAAAGGATTGACTATCAGATGTTCAACCAGCTTCAGTTCTCTGATCTAATCGACGTTTCAGAAAATCAGGTGACTGTGATCGAGAAACTGGCTTTCAAGGATTTGTTTTTAACGCAGATCAATTTGTCAAGAAATGCGATAGAGAAAATCGAACCAGGAGCTTTTGAGAATTGTGCAAACATCACTTTGCTGGATTTGAGCTACAACAAATTGGAGAACATTGCAAAAACTGCTTTTGATAGCGCAACTTATGCGACGGAATTGCAAATTAGCTACAATTTGCTGACGGAATTGAACCAGGTAAGAAATTTCTGAGTACCAAATCATTCTTGATGCTAAATTAAGCTCAATTTTCAGGTCCCGCTGCAAAACATGACTGGTTTGAAGGTTTTGAACGTTTCTCACAACAATATTCATTCAATACCCCGGCAAACTTTTCCAAAACTTTATGAACTGCATACGATTGACATTTCTTACAACAACTTGTCTGAAATCCACTCAGCAATCTTCCAGACGCTGTTCAGTCTCAGATTTCTGAACATGTCGCACAATTCGTTGGAAAAAATCAAACCCGCAACATTTGGCTCGCTTCCGACGGTGCTAGAACTTGATTTGAGCTACAACAAGCTGAAGGACATTGCGAGAGGAAGTTTAGCAAAGCTGGCAAGCTGCAGAATTTTGACCGTGAAGAACAACCACCTGGAAAAGATCTTCCAGCTGCCGATTTCACTCGGACACTTGGACTTTTCGGAAAACGAGTTATCAGAAATTCCATCAGAAGATGTCTGGCCGCCAATGAACTCCCTGCTGTCACTGGACTTGTCACACAACCGGCTGGGAGATAATCTCCAGTACAAGAGCTTCGACCCTCTGCTGACCCTAAGGACCTTGAACCTGGAGAACAACAACATGACCCGTCCACCTTGGGCGGCTCTCAGCACTCTGACCAGTCTGCAATATTTGTACATGCAGGACAACCAGCTGACCCAACTGGACAAAGCCTCCTTCGGGCAGCTACCGATCGTCTTCGAGCTAAATCTTGCGAATAACAGAATTAAGACGATCAGTCCTCGCGCTTTTGAAGGACTTTTGCAACTGCTGACCCTGAATCTCACTGGGAATAACTTGACGCATATTCCTAACGGCGCGTTCCAGGGCTTGGTATCTCTACGCTCGCTGGATCTTTCGAAGAACAGATTGGAAAAGCTAGATAACAAGACTCACGGAGTGCTCGAGGATTGCTTGTCATTAGAGAGGATTAATCTTAGTAACAACAAAATTTCATTTATTACTAGAAAAACCTTTCCTAGTGATCCTTATCGCCCGTACAGATTGAAACAAATTGATTTATCCTACAATAGTATGCCCGTCGTTACTTTCGATCTGACAACCGGTACCAAGAAAGTCGAGGCTCTGAATCTTAGTCACAATGGTATCAATGAAATACGAAGATGTAAGTATTTTTTTTTTTGTTTAAAAGATTTTTAAAAGAGATGTTTAAAAGATTTAGGCTGCATACGAAAATGCTCTATCTCTAGATACATAATTAAGAAATGACCTTGTATTTTGTGAAATATTGACATTTTTAAAGATATAAGCTCATCTTGACATTATACTCGTCAAGACCTTTCATTTGAGTACCCACATCAATTTTTAATATATTTTATATATTTATATATATTACATATATGTATATATGAAAAATATATCAAAAATGCATGTGGGTACTCAAATGAAAGGTCTCGATGAATGTAACATCAGGATGAGCTTATATCTTTAAAAATGTCAATAGTTAAAAGAGTACAGTACAATTTAATAATATTCATTATTTAATAAAGCAAAATTTTGTAAGTATGAGGTTGTTGAGGCAACGAGCAAAGAGTGTGTTCTAAAACACGAGCACAGAAAACGCGTTTTTCACTAATTTAGTGTGGTTTTTATTATAGTTTGTGTTATTGTTTCATAAAGAATGAACTGACGAGTTATTTTAAAGAAAATAAATTAATTTTTTGCAGATGTGATAGGAAATTTAACATCTCTAAAAACATTGGACCTGTCTGACAACGAGCTGAGCGATCTTTCAGAAGAATTCGTGTTCGAGCCGCCAGAAAACCTGACAAACCTGTACCTGAGTGGGAATCACTTCAGCCAGTTGCCGGTGAGCAAAATCTTGGCGATGCCGAACCTGAAGGTTCTGGACCTGAAAAACAACGAGCTGGGGAGTTTCGACGAGAGTTACATGAAGATTGTGAGGAATAAAACATCGGTGAGGTACGGGGGGAACCCGCTGCACTGCGATTGTTATGCCCGGCCAGTTCGTAGATGGCTGGAGACCTTGACGGAAATTCCAGACGAGTGGATGGACTTGACCTGTGCGAGTCCGGATTACGTTGCCAATAAACGACTTGTTGATGTTGCTGAGGACTTGATGACGTGTGGGGAACGCGAGATCCAGGACAATCCTCAATTGGAAATAACTCCGGATATTAAATTCCGCAATATCGAATAGTAAGTCTTCATATAAAAAATTTTATTGATTTATTAAAATTCTATTATTAATGGAAATTTCTATTAGTCTATTAAAATTCTATTATTAATAAAAAATTCCATTAATTTTTTAGAATTCTATTTGAAAAAAAATTTTTTTTTGATCTATTCTATTGATTTAAAATTCTATTATTAATAGATCATTCTATTGATCGATTAAAATTCTAATAAATATAATTTTCGATTTTTACAGCGACGAGGAGGATAATTCGTGGAAGGTTACCTGGTACGTGACGTCCCGAGGGGACGTCGGTGATTTTTACCTGGTTGTCCGCGAGGTAGCAGGCAACAAACCGCTTTTAGAGAAGGATCTTGTGTACAAAGAGAGATCCTTTAAGATAAAAAATTTGCCAGAATCGATGAATATCAAATATGAGCTGTGTGTGCTCGCAAGAGATTCGATCGGTAATGTCAAGCACTTTAGAAGCTCTCAGTGTCAGATCCTCAACAAACGACCGATTCTATCCTCCGACTCATCAGCATTAACTTGCTACTTTACTCTAACACTCGTTACCATTACTCTAATCGCTGTGATGTAAATAAACATTTATTGTTATTATATTATTGTCAATTTTTAGATATTAATTAGCCTAATTATCATTGTAAAGTTATTAAATATCAACAAATTAATTTTAATGGGTTGTTATTCATTTTTTTTTAAACAATGAACTTCACACTGTCCTCGACACTTTACTCTGTAATTTAGAGATAAATTCTTTTAAAATATCTCACGGCTTGAGGAAGTCTTTGTCGTGAGGATTTTATTGTCTCATGATATTAATTAGAATCATTTTAATTAAAAAAATTAATTCTGGCTAATGGCAAATGTTATTTTCGGTAAATTCTAATTTTAATTGAATAAATTGTTTTATTAATTAAACAATTGTCTTAAAAAGAAACTAACTCTCATGACCTCTTTACGATTTACCTTTCGTATTAAAGAGTTTAAAGAAAAAAAAATGAAGAAATTCTCTGACAATAAAGTTTAATTATTAAAACATAAAATGAATATTAAATAGTAATTAATAGAATGAAAAAAAATTTCTCAGTGGCCATTAATTCGGTATTTATTATTTAAGGCCTTTCTAGTGGCGATTAAATTTTAATTATTAATTCAAAAGTACTTGCAGTAAATTTGTATGTAAATAATAATATTTAACGGGGATATATGATAATTGTTTATTGTATGTACTAAGTAATTAAGGATTTTAACTTTCGAACAACCAATACGGTTATAAATACGAGAATAGATTAAATAAATAAAACAATAACAATTAGAGATTGCTTATGAATATATAATGAGAATAATAATAAAATTGAATTTTTTTATTTATTATAGAATTGTAATGGATCTATAGAATTATCTATTAGTAATAGAATTTTAATAAATCAATAGAATTTTAATGGATCAAAAAAAATTTTTTTTAAATAGAATTTAAAAAAATTAATGGAATTTTTTATTACTAACAGAATTTTAATAGACCAATGGAAATTTCCATTAATCATGGAATTTAAATGGATTAATGGAATTTTTCTATTAATAATAAAATTTGAATGTATCAAATTTTTCATTTGTATTGGAATTTAAATGGACCATTGAAAAGTTCCATTAACAATAGAATTTTAATAAATCAATGGAATTTTAATGGATAAAAAAATTTAATTAGAATTTTTTATTAATTATAGAATTTTAATAGACTAATGGAATTTAAATGAACCATTAGAAAGTTCTATTAATAGGATTTTAATGAATAAAATAATTTAATTAAAATTTTTCATTTTTGATAAAGTTCTAAAAAATTAATGGAATTTTTTAGAACTAATAGAATTTTAATAGACTAATGGAATTTTCCATTAATAATAGAATGTAAATAGACTAATAGAATTTCTCAATAATAAAATTTTAATGCATCAATTAAATTTTCCATTTGTATTGGAATTTAAATGGACTATTGAAAAGTTCCATTAATAATAGAATTTTAATAAATTAATGGAATTTTAATAGATAAAAAAACTTTATTCAAATTTTTTATTTTCAATAGAATTTTGAGAACTTAATGGAATTTTTTATTGCTAATAGAACTTCAATAGATTAATAGAACTTTCCATTAATAATGGAATTCTAATAAAACAATAGAATTTTTAATTTATAATGAAATTTTGATGGACTAAAAAAAATTTAATTTAATGCGGATCAATAAAATTTTTAATAAATGCAATTAAAAAAAATAAAATTTAAATTATTTAAAAAAAGAAATAACAACAATTAGATACCATATGAATAATCTTATAAATAAAGTTATTACAAAATATCCGTAGTATAGCCATATAAGGCATCGTAAAGCCCACGTAAAGGTGGGATAAAGCAGCCGATAGAAACAAAATAAATATAAATTAAAATAAATAACATCTTCCAAAGCAATAAAGTTATTTATCTAGATGACTAGATAAATACGTTAGTTAACAAGCTTGCTTGTAAACCCCTAAAAAAAGGTTAAAATAATGGAGGCAACACTTTCTCATATCTCACGAATTCACGCAATAGCACAAGCAGCAGCAAAGAGCAGAGTTTGTATCCTATCCACTATCCACTCTCCTGTAGTCTCTATATATTCTCTCACATAACTCACCAATACACTCACCATACACCAGGTAAGTTGTAAGTGTACCTGGTTCTCCATACTTCGTCAGTATCTCTCGTGATTTCAAAGAGCGAGGATCTGAGAAGCATTAAAAACCAGCTCTCAGTTCGCGTGACTCTTGCCATCTCTTCTTTATTTTTGTCCATGATTTTTTAACACCTTTTTTAATTTTTATATTCTTCACCAAGTTACCTCACCACTCAGCACAATATTAATATTAAATATTAATCATTTATCTTAAACCACAAGTGTTTTCGTGTTTACTCTTGCATAAATGAGACAATAGCTTCAATCTTTGTTTCTTCTTTAATAATGGGTGCCAAGTGTTTTTATTTATTTCTTCTTTGGGTTACTACTGCTGCGGCAAATGGTGAGTTTAATAAATAAATTAATTAATTAATTAATCATTTAAAATTAATTTTTCTTTTTTAATAAAGAAGAAATATAATTTTCTTCTTTAAATTAATTAATTAATAATTTTTAATTATTTCTTCTTTTTTAATAAAGAAGAAATATAATTTTCTTCTTTAAATTAATTAATTAATTATTTTTAATTATTTTTTCTTTTTTAATAAAGAAGAAGTATTATTTTCTTCTTTAAATTAAATTAAATAATTAAAATCTTCATCAAGAAGGTAATATATGACTGTTTATATGTTTAACCTTAAATTTTAAGTAAATAAAAATGTTCCTAGCCTTAAATTGATAATTAATTATCAACCTCGGGCAATTTAGCGCAATTAAAATTCCGCTCTTATATGGAATCTCTGGCCTGCAAGATATTCTAACGCTGAATTGATTGTTCCTTTAGAACGCGTGGGAAATCTATATTGCATACAATATGTATAACTTAATGGACAATTTGTACAAAATAAGCAATCATTTGGCGTAAAAATGGCCGCTACTGCGATTGCGTGGTAAACCGCGAGTACGTGAAAGCGAAATGATATAAACATTGCGCAAAACTCGGTATTTTACTCCAGATAGCTGGAACTTTGTTGCCTGGTATATATTACAACCTATATATATATATATATATATATATATATGTTCTTGAACCCGAAGGGTGAGGAAACACAGGAAGAAATAAAGAAGAAAAACCGGTTGCAGATACCCAGTGGATCTGAAAACAAAAGATTGTTTTAGAATTCATGCTCTAGTTTTAGAGGTCTTAATAAAGGCTTGTTGCTTGTTGCCTGCCGATAGGGTATAACCTCTTTTAATGCTCTGTAATTATGCAGAAGATGTTGCGAATTCCGATGGTAATGACAGAGCGTTAAACCACTGGCTTACAAATTACAGCTCACATTCTGAAAATAAGAAGCTCATGAATTTTATCGTACATATTAACAATAATCACTTTTATTTGGAGGTTAGAAGCTATCTATGGCTTGTTTAGCTTTTATATTAATAAATTTTGTTAACCGGTACTCACCAATTATCGTACAATCGTTACATTACGGTACTTCGCCCACACTGGGAACGAAAATCTTCGCCAAAGGCGAACATTAACCACATTTATGAGGGTAAACACTTTCGGCGTATTTTACATAATTTTTTACCCACACAGGAATATTTTGGTGTTAATTTTGTTTTTTCAATTTATTTTATTGAAAAAATTGAATTAAAAAAAAAATAAAATTTACCCAGGATTTCATTAATTAAATTGTTTAATTTTAGAATAAATAAAAAAATATTTATTGAAAAATAATTAAATTAAAATAGGTAAAAATTTGTAGACAATAAATTAAAAACAATAAAATTTGCCTAAGATCAGATTCGAACCCTGTTCAGTCCACGCTGTTAAAAATGTCAGGTCGTTTAAAGCCAAGAACAAAATTTTAATGGTCAGGAATGAAATTATTTAATTGTAGAATAAATAAAAGAATATTTATTGAAAAATGATTAAATTAAAATAGGTAAAAATTTGTAGAAAAAATTACAACGGTAATTGATTTTATTTAAACATTTAATATGCTGAAGTGGTACGAGACAATACCGAAATGTGTGTTGACTACGCGACTTCCTGTATATAATATACACACCTCTAACTAACTACTGATATATAACTTATAACTGCAAGTGCTGTTCATGAAGAATATATTTTCCAGAGCCTACTCATCAGGATCTCATGTGGGATTTAATTGTTTCCGCGAAGAATATTCCCAGTTTTAGATTACCTCTTTCGTTATCTTTGAATTATCGTGCTCAAATATTGTAGCAGAGTATATATTTAATTAACTAAACGCTACCAATCACTTTCTTCATCTCCACTTAAGTTGGAATTGTTTTTACGCTACTCATTCAAAGATACCGTTTGTTTTTTATTTTTAATATCAATGAAATTAATCGTCGGATTTTTTTACATGCTTGTAAGTGCAGATAAAAATCTGTGGTTATTTTACGGCAAAATTGGCGACATTAAAAATTACTGCCGGTAATAAACAAATTTTTATTTCTGTAAGAAGAAATTTATTGTATAAAAAATATTTTATTGTTCAAGTATTGAAAGTTTGAATTGTTAATGTAATAATATAATTCCTGTATTTTAGTTTGATAAAAATAACGAGCACACTTAAGATAATTGGAGCGCTATTTGTTTAAAAATTAAAACATAATAATAATAATATAAATAATTGCACTATATACTTAAATAATTGTCATTGGCATTGAAATGCTGATAAGTTAAAATTATAAAAATAGCCAATTAAATATAAACACTCGTTCATTTAAATTTATCTATTAAATTAATATAAAAATTTAATAAAATTTATTTTTTCTCGCTATAAAATATTTCAAAAATTCACTCAACTTTTTTAATTAATTTTATTATTAATAAATTAATTATTTAAAGGAATATTTATTAAAATAATTGTCGAACCGAATAATTATCCAAAATAATTGTTCGGATAATAAGAACAACTACTACACATTATAATTAAACGGTTGCATCGATAACCGACTAAGCTATCTAACTTAAATTGCTCTAGGGAAAACCTATTAGCATTAAAAAGACAAAATTGCGAACCACGTCATGACGATTTTAAAATTGCGAAGATAACTTCTCCTTCCCCGGTGAAATTTAGTGAGAATTATGCGTATAAATACCCGATTCCAAACCTTTAAGTTACAGTTCAATATTCTTCTTGAAAGTAAGTATTATTTACCTATATACGATTTTTATAATAATATTTAATATAAAAAATGTATTTAAATTGAAGCTATCAATCATGAAACCGCAATTAATATCAATTTTGGTAGCAATGTCGCTAGCAGCGACATCTGCGGTCGACGTTTGCTGGGGTCCTGGGATTCCCGTAAGTTTCTTCAATTTTCTTATTTTTTACTTTACTTAAAAGTATTTTTGTTTATTTAGTGCCAAGACAAAGAAGGATGTTGTGATGGATTGATCTGTAGTGATGGAAAGTGTGCTGAAGATCAAAGCAGCGGCGGTGGCGGTGGTGGTGGACCCGCAATTTGTATGGGAGAAGGCGCTCCGGTAAGTTTCAAAATTAATTAATAAAATCATAACAATTATTTATTAAAAATATTGTAGTGCTCTGACGAAAGCGAATGTTGTGACGATGTTACTTGTCAAAGCGGAACTTGTTCCAAACCCTCAAGCGGTGGTGGTGGTGGTGGTGGTGGTGGTGGTGGACCAGCAATTTGCATGGGAGAAGGCATGCCTGTAAGTCTCTAAATCTTGAATTAATTAATTAATAAAATTAATTATTAAAAACATTGTAGTGCTCTGACGAAAGCGAATGTTGTGACGATGTTACTTGTCAAAGTGGAACTTGTTCCAAACCTTCAAACGGTGGTGGTGGTGGTGGTAGTGGTAGTGGTGGTGGACCCGTAATTTGTATGGGAGAAGGCGCTCCGGTAAGTTTCAATTTTTAATAAATTAGTTAACAAAATCATAACAATTATTTATTAAAAATAATCTAGTGCTCTGACGAAAGCGAATGTTGTGACGATGTTACTTGTCAAAGTGGAACTTGTTCCAAACCCTCAAGCGGTGGTGGTGGTGGTGGTGGTGGACCAGAAATTTGCATGGGCGAAGGCATGCCTGTAAGTCTCTAACTCTTGAATTAATTAATTAATAAAATTAATTATTAAAAACATTGTAGTGCTCTGACGAAAGCGAATGTTGTGACGATGTTACTTGTCAAAGTGGAACTTGTTCCAAACCCTCAAGCGGTGGTGGTGGTGGTGGTGGTGGACCAGAAATTTGCATGGGCGAAGGCATGCCTGTAAGTCTCTAACTCTTGAATTAATTAATTAATAAAATTAATTATTAAAAACATTGTAGTGCTCTGACGAAAGCGAATGTTGTGACGATGTTACTTGTCAAAGCGGAACTTGTTCCAAACTTTCAAGCGGTGGTGGTGGTGGTGGACCAGCAATTTGCATGGGAGAAGGCATGCCTGTAAGTCTCTAATTCTTGAATTCGTCCATTAGCGAATCAAATTTAATAAATTTCTTAATAAAAAACATTCTAGTGTGAAGACGACGACGGATGTTGCGACGGAGTCACTTGCAAAAGTGGAACTTGTACCTAGAAGTAACTGCCGTAACAGAACACAGAGGGCAGAGTTTGTCAAAGCCAAACAAGGGATTGACCCTCAACCCAATAAAAAAACACTAAAAATGTTAGCAAATTTTGTAATTTCTTCAAAAATAAACCTAATTTGAAAACAATATCTAATTTAGTTATTTAAAAGCCTTTAAATAAATTCAAAATTGATTTCTTTGAGCGTTTAGCGCTGGCTTTAAGGTTCAGTACACTGATGTTGATCCTCCGGTATGCGGCTCTTGCTTCCGTGTCATAGATTACACGAACGTCGCTCGGATACGAGATAAACGATTCCCGTTCCGAATTCCAACGACACATGGTACCCTGTAGCCGATGTTGGCACGTGCGAACAGCCAATAAATAAAATAAAACCATTTAAATATCGACAAGCATTAATTCCGATATTTTTCGGAACTCTAGATCCAGTTATAAATCCCACGTTATCTTTACAACTTTGTTGGTATTATTATTATAGCTCTCTTATCAGAATCTGGATGATTTATCAGCATGATCTCTTTACTCTCTTTATGGCGCCTTTTCTTCAGTCGGCGGCTGATATGAGAGTATGTAGAATCTTATTGCGTGACAACGTAACATATCCGCTCTAGTCTCTGTGACGTAGCACTTACGATTACCATCGAATTATTAAAATGCTCAAGGTGGTCTCCATACATTCACCATGACACCGTGGAAATCCTTATCGGGTTGATAAATATTTTTACAATTACTTCCTGATATATTTCTGTGTATATGCAACTTTAGAGGTGGTTTTTTTCCAAAGATTTTAAATTTTCAATTTTAATGTCAGATTATTTTGATTTATTAACAATTGTTTCAATATATTTTGCTTCAATGTCGGGATTAAAAAATAGAGACAAAAGAGACGGTAACCAATTAGCAGGCATACAGCGAAACCGGTCACAAAGTTATCGCGATTACCGTGTGCTAGACACCGGACAGGATTAAAAACCCTGATGCTGATTAAAGTATAAAGCAATCGTGTTGGGATTTTATTTTTAAATTAAATAAAATAACAAAGAAATAGAAAATTATAAGCTTTATTAGCTGTTAATAAATGATTTTTTAACATCAAAGGATTTAATAATTCATTAATTATTAAATTTAATAAATATCTATTAACAGTTAAATATTAAAATTAAAAAAAATCTGGGCCCATAACCTGAACTTATAGAAGGATTCTTTTATATTTAATAAGCTTCATTAATTGTTAATAAATGATTTTTTAACATCATAGGATTTAATGAATATCTATTAACAGTTAATAAATAATTTATTAAATATTAATAAATATTTGTTAACAGTTAACAAATATTTATTAAATGTTAAAAAATATTTATTAAAATTGAATGATTGTCTTCAAATAAATTAAATTATTAATAGTTAATAAATGATTTTTTAACTTCATAGGATTTAATAAATATTTATTAACTGTTAAAAAATAATTATTAAAATTTAATAAATTAAATAATTGTTTTCAATAAATTAAATCTGTGAAAAACAGATAAAAATTTCTTCTTTTGAAATAACATTTTGATTTTAACAATACGTTTGCATCACAAAGCACATAGCAGGACATACAGAGTTCCGTAAAATAAAATTGATATACATAAAAGTACTGTTTATCAAATGTAGACACATTTAGATATGTACTTATAGGAGAGCATGTCACCGCAATAACAGCTGTTGCGACAAGACATAAAATAAGTAAAGGTCTTTCTACTACTGTAATATAATTCCACAGTATTATCATACACATATATAGACAGTCTATCGTTATATTACCTTGGCGTCATCAACTGACCACTGGTGAAAGTACACCAATCATCTTGGCTGCATCAAGTAAAAAGCAACAGTACTTTTGTGTGCTTGTGTTGGCGTGTGTTGTCAGATCTCAAGGTCGATATATTCTACACAACATATTGTCTTTTCTTGTTCACGCGATTATTATTTTTAAAAAATCTCCAGACATTAATAAATATAATTATTGTTTTGATGTTTCAGTGCAAAGCAAAGTAAGATGCTCCCAGGATTTTATGGAAGTTGATATTGTCAGGAGCAGTCCTCAAGCTAAGATATATCTTCAGCAGCTTGAAAATTATCCAGGTAATTTTTTAACTATTGTTAAATTTTTTTTTTTGTCTCTAAAGAATTTGTGAATATAAAATATATTCAAGCCTTGACTTTTAATACTTAAAGAAAGAGTAGATAGTAATTTTCAATTAGTTTAAAATAGTAATTAACAAAAAAATTTATTTTAATTAAAATCGAGCAACTTTGCAGTCATTATAAATAAAATTTTGCTTTAGTAAATAATGAATTTTGTTAAATTGCACTGTACTTTTTTAAATATTGATGTTTTTTACGATATAAGCTCATCCCGATGTTACACTCATCAAGCCCTTTCATTTGAGTACCCACATCAATTTTTCATATATTTATATATATTTTATATATGTATATATGAAAAATATATGAAAATGCATGTTGGTACTCAAATGAAAGGTCTTGATGAGTGTAACATAAGAATGAGATCATTTCTTCAAAAATGTCAATAGTTCACGAGATATTTGTTAAAATGCCCTGTACTTTTTTAAGTATAGAAGTTTTTACAGATATAAGCTCATCCTGATGTGACACTTATTAAGAGCTTCCATTTGAGTACCCACGTGCATTTTTGATATATTTTTCATTTATACATATATATAGTATATATAAATACATAAAATATATGAAAAATTGATGTGGGTACTCAAATGAAAGGTCTTGATGAGTATAACATCAAGATGAGCTTATATTTTTAAAAATGTCAATGGTTCACAAAATACAAGGTCATTTAGAGCATTTGCAAAGTTTTAAAGCTCCCGAAAATTAAATTCAAAGATTCCGTTACATATACACAGACATGGATACTTAGGCGAAGCTAATAAAAAGCAGACTAAAAATAAGAAGAAATGATAATTGTCGGTAATTGGAGATAAATAAAAACAAAGTAGTTAATCCGCGAACGTTTAAAGAACGGGAGTAATTTGTATAATTAATATAATGGATGATATCCTCTGGATCAAGTTAAACAGTCGTTTTTTCTATAAACGACCGTTCCTGGGTTATTATGCCACCAGAATTCTCCAGACTAGAAGATTATTGTTCATCCTGTTTATATTAACCTGGATACTTTCTTCTTTGCTCTTGTAGCTAGTTACTTGTACGGTAAATAGTCTAGCAGGACTTGTAATAAATAATGATCCTTTGGATGGTCCTTTTGTTCGCAGATGAGGCGTGCAAGCCAGTTTTTCACAAAGGCGTCGCCACATTTCGGCTGTCTCTCGCCGAACAAAACATGTCACGCTGCGGAATCGTTCGAGTTGTTAACAAAATGACGGTAAAATATTATTTTAATCTCCAATGACAAATAAACTTATTTTAGAAGTTTTTATTTCGAAGACTTTTAAGAAGTTTTTTCAATATATGAGCCAACATTCTGTGGGCTTAATTTACATAACAAGTGGCCAGTTTACTCTTCAGAGGTTTATATAAAAGCGAGTCTGGGTGAATCACCTGGTGCCTACCTTCAAGGCCAGCGTGAGATCATCAATTAAATGAATAAGAGGATTTTATTTAGTTTTTAACTTTTTACAGGGACAAAAAGTTTACTATCATCGTATTATCGTCGTCGAGCCCGGGGATGAGGGCAAACACACGTTTACTGTCAAGTGCATCGTTACTGAGCTCGATTTACAGACTAAAATTTCGGGGTTGGATCATGGAGTTGTCAGGAGAAGTGTTTTGCCCGCTGGATTTCAAGAAGATGAGTTAGTATTATTATTTTTAATATTTCTTTGTGATATTGCAAGTAATTGCTCATTTTTTAGAAAATTTATCGGTGATTTTTTATGATTTATAAATTTTATAAAAAATTACTTGCTTTAGTAATAATGAATTTTATTAAATTGCACGGTACTTTCTTAAGTATTGACTTTTTTAAAGATATAAGCTCATCCCGATGTTACTCTCGTTAAGAGCTTTCATTTGAGTACCCACATCAATTTTTCATATATTTGTCATATATACATATATATATATATAGTATATATAAATATATAAAATATATGAAAAATTGATGTAGGTACTCAAATGAAAGGCCTTGATGAATATAATCTTGAGATGAGATTATATCTTTAAAAATGTCAATATTTCACATGATACAAGGTCATTTCTTAATTATTGACATTTTTTAAGCTATAAGCTCATTTTGATGTTATACTCATCGAGACCTTTTATTTGAATACCCACATGAATTTTTGATATATTTGTCATATATACATATGTATAATATATATAAATATATGAAATATATCAAAAATTGATGTGGGTACTCAAATGAAAGGTCTTGATGAGTGTAATGTCAAGATGAGCTTATATCTTTACGAATGTCAATAGTTCACAAAATACAAGGTCATTTCTTAATTATTGAAATTTTCAAAAATGTATAAGCTCATTCCGATGTTATACTCATGAAGAGCTTTCATTTGAATACCCACATGCATTTTTGATATATTTTTCATATATACATATGAATAATATATATATATATAAATATATAAAATATATAAAAAAAATTGATGTGGGTATTCAAATGAAAGGTCTTGATGAGAGTAATCTCAGAATGAGCTTATATCTTTAAAAATGTCAACAATTTACAAAATACAAGCTCATTTCTCAATTATGTATGTAAAAAAATTCAATTTTTATTCTTTAATAATTAATAATAAAAATTCTTAATTAAAAGAAAATATCTTTTGCCTAACATAAAAACTTTGTTATTCTAACAATAGTTAAAAATTAATCACTTATTAACTCGGACGATTAAAAGTACATCTACTGGAAAAGTATTTATAATTTATAAACATAATTTCCAGTTAGTTGCAAATATAATTATAAAAAATAACACGCAAGAAAAAGTTACGCGTGGAAGAATAATTTAATGATTCGTTACAATTTTACGAGATGAGTAGAAAATTGTCAGGTATTAAATAAACAGTTTGACTGTTTCACAGTTATCTTAATACGTATTATAATAAACAATAAATAAATAAATAAAAATAAAAATTGCGCCGATGGGTAATCAATCGATAGCCGTCTTGGCGTTAATAGATAATAAATAAAATAAAAATGGGGTGCATTAACAGGATTAACATGAGCATGAACATGTTTAAAATAAGACTTCCGCGTTGAACTTGATGTCGCGAACTAGATTGCAATAAATCACCGGACCCTCGAACGTTCGTCATGCTCGTTGGACACGCGAGTACGGGATTTATTAAACCGCGATCCACTCTGTTGTATGTGTTGTTTATTTATTTTATTTATTTTATAGCACCGTTGATATCCAGGATGAAATAAAAGGAAATGCGCCAATTCCGATGCTCAGCGTTGGTGTTCGTCAAGGTGGTAAACTAGTCACGGGGGAACTCAATGTTAGCCCGGGTACTCCACTACAAATGGAAATATTTCTCGATACTGAGTCAGCACCTGTTTATGGGCTACTTGTCACTTACATGCAAGTCACTGACACTAGGACTGCTGAGGAAACAATCATTTTCAATGGGTATAACTAATTCATTTTCTTTTTGGTATTTTAATTATAATATACAGGTAGAAGCACCTAATTTTGACAGGTGTCCAATTATTGACAATAATTCCTGTTTTTACCGTAGATAAAAATAAACAAATAATTTTTTTTAATTAATAATATTAAAAAAATTGAATTAAAATTTTTTTGGCTAAATTTTTTATATTACGGTGAAAATATTGATCATATAAAATATTTTTTAGATAAAAGTTGTTTAAAATTTAATTAAAAAGAAAGATCGCTTATATTTTTGCTTTTTTAAATTATGACTTTTGTTAAATTGCACTGTACTTTTTTAACTATTGACATTTTTAAAGATATAAGCTCATTCTGACATTACACTCATCAAGAGCTTTCATTTGAGTACCCACATCAATTTTTCATATATTTTTCATATATACATATATATAATACATATAAATATATAAAATATATGAAAAATTGATGTAGGTACTCAAATGAAAGGTATCAATGAGTATAACATCGGAATGAGCTTATATCTTTAAAAATGTCAATAGTTCACGAGATACAAGGTCATTTCTTAATTATATATCTAGAGATAGAGCATTTTCAAATGCAACCTAAATACTTATCATAATAAATTGACTATTGGCGACAAAAATTTGCTTATTCTCTTAATATAGACAATTAGCACAAATTTTAATTATTTATTATTAATCTTAAATATTAAGACCCATAATAAAGCCGCAATTAAAAAAAAATTTTTTTTTTCTACAAAACTAAAATTTTTGAAAAAAATTTTGGAGTTAATAATAAAATAAAAAATTTTATTTTCAGATGTTCAGTCGACCCATACTTATTTGAAAACTTCAATACAGTAGACGGTGACTTTCTCACAGCAAAATTCCGAGCTTTTAAATTTCCAGAGAGTACATACGTCCAGTTCCGAGGAACGGTAAACGTTTGCTTGGACAAATGTCAAGGAGTTGAATGTAGCAACGGGCAACTTGGGTTCGGGAGAAAGAAACGTGCAATCTCAATGTCCGGGGACAAGAACAAAGTCTTCGAAGTTACAATGTCGACGTTTATTAAAGTCGACTACGATAGTCAGGTCCCAGATGCCAGTAAGTTTTTTTATCTTATCATATTATAAAGTTGCGGTAATAATTCTTATCTTTTTTATTTATTTTTTTTTTTCAGCACTCTCACAGTTCATAAGACCGGGAAAGAATAGAACGTTCGAGCGATCGGTAATCGGCGAGCAAGTCCAAGAGCAGTTTGTTTACAAATGGACGGAATCATCTGGCTCCTCTTACTGCCTTAACTTAATCCAAATTCTACTCAGTTGTTTCTTTTTGTCATTTTTTTGAAAATTCCAGTAACATAAATCAAATTAAAATTTAGATCTGAGAAACTAAAACTGTGTGATACTAAAAATACGTTTATTGCCCGCGAGATAAAAGTTAAAATAAAATAAAAAGACTCACTAGATTTCTCTACTCTGCGACCGCGTAATTTTTTACACGCCATTGATGTTTAATTAAAGTATATGTACGATTTTTAAAATAAAAATTAGCCTTTGCGAGTAGAGAAAGCTGAGGCCCTAGTCCCACTACGGCGTAACTAATTATTGATAATATTTTTAATAATTACGTAGATAACACGTGTAATCATCGACTCTAAAACCGGGATCGCTGATTCTCATTTTTAATAAAACATTTTATTAATTCGAAGTAATTAATGATTTTATGATTTATTGACTTACCCTTACATCCTGAAGATCCCGAAGTTCGTTTTAGGAATCGGAGCGTTGACACAGGCGGCTAAACTCATTGCGATCACTGTTCTTGTATCGACTGGATCTATAACGCCGTCGTCCCACAATCTGTTGATAAAATTAATAACTTATTAGCAAACTGGCTCTATAAAAATATAATTTTGCTTTATTGAATAATGAATTTTGTTAAATTGCACTGTAATTTCTTAACTATTGATGTTTTTAAAGATATAAGCTCATCCTGATGTTACACTCATCAAGAGCTTTCATTTGAATACCTACATCAATTTTTGGTATATTTTTCATATATACATATATACATATAAATATATGAAAAATTGATGTGAGTACTCAAATGAAAGGTCTTGATGAGTGTAATGTCGGGATGAGCTTATATCTCCAAAAATGTCAATAGTTCACAAGATATTTGTTAAAATGCTCTGTACTTTCTTAAATATTGATGTTTTTAAAGATATAAGCTCATCCCGATGTTACACTCATCAAGAGCTTTCGTTTGAGTACCCACATGCATTTTTGATATATTTTTCATATATACATATATATATAATATATATAAATATATAAAAAATTGATGTGGGTACTTAAATGAAAGATCTCAATGAGTGTAACATCAGAATGAGCTTATATCTTTAAAAATGTCAATAGTTTAAAAGATACAAGGTCATTTGTAAAATCTAAAATAAATTTTTTTTTATATAGCAAACAATATTCACCTTGCAGAAGAATAATAAGGACTTCCTTCAGCGTCAAACTTTCCAGTAATAGTACTCCTCAACTTATCCTCCTCTTCTTGACTCCAAGGTTTATTTTCCCTCAGCCGCTGTTCTTTAGCAATCTGAACGAGCACCCCCGCAGCTTGTTCTCCTCCCATCACCGAAATTTTAGCATTAGGCCAAGAGTACATGAACCTCGGAGAGTAGGCTCTTCCGCACATTCCTAAAGACCCATCAAATAGAAGATTAAAAAAAAAAATCAAACTATATGTTGATAGAATAAACTACCGTAATTTCCTGCCCCGTACGAGCCGCCGATAATGACAGTTATCTTCGGAACTCTAGCGCAAGACACAGCGGTAACCATCTTAGCTCCATTCTTAGCGATTCCGCCGGCTTCGGCGTCTTTTCCTACCATGAAGCCGGTGATGTTTTGCAGGAAAACGAGAGGAATTTTCCTCTGGGAGCAGAGCTGGACAAAGTGAGCTCCCTTCAAAGCGCTCTCTGAGAAAAGGACTCCATTATTCGCGACGATTCCAACAGGGTAGCCGTAGATGTGAGCGAACCCCGTAACTAGAGTCTCTCCGTACTGTTGCTTGAACTCACTGAACCGCGAACCGTCGACGATTCTTGCGATTACTTCTTTTACATCAAAGGGTTTTTTTAAATTAGCTCCAACGATTCCGTAAATTTCATCGACGTTGTGCTTAGGAGTGTCAATTTCATTTATATTGACGTCCAGCGGCGACTGAAGATTCAAATTTGAGACTATTTTTCTTGCTAGGTACAGCGCGTGTGTGTCATCAACAGCAAAGTGATCTGTGACTCCAGAAATGCTGGAAAATAAATTGAATTTATTATAAATTGAAAGATATAAGCTCACCCCGACATTATACTCATCGAGACCTTTCATTTGAGTACCCACATCAATTTTTCATATATTTTATATATTTATATATATCATATATATATATTTATATACGAAAAATATATGAAAAATGCATGTGGGTACTCAAATGAAAGCTCTTGATGAGTGTAACATCAGGATGAGCTTATATCTTTAAAAATGTCAATTGTTAAGAAAGTACAGTGCAATTTAACAAATATCTTGTGAACTATTGATATTTTTTAAGATATAAGCTCACCCCGACATTACACTCGTCAAGACCTTTCATTTGAGTATCCACATGCATTTTTGGTATATTTGTCATATATACACATATATAATATATATGAATATATGAAAAATATATCAAAAATGCATGTGGATACTCAAATGAAAGCTCTCGATGACTACAACATCGGGAGGAGCTTATATCTTTAAAAACATCACTAGTTAAAAAATTACATTGCAATTTAACAAAAGTAATTATTTAATAAATCAAAATTTTATTTATTTATATTTCATTAATCACGGAAGTCACACAGTGACTGCAAGGTTGCTATTTAATTTTAACTTACTGACAATGAAGCTTAGCACCACCCAGCTCTTCAGCAGTGACAACTTCACCCGTAGAAGCTCTAACCAACGGAGGTCCAGCGAGGAAAATAGTCCCCTGGTTACCAACAATTATATTCTCATCAGCCATCGCAGGTACATACGCGCCTCCAGCAGTGCAACTTCCCATGACCACAGCAATTTGGGGGATTCCCTCAGCGCTCATGTTCGCTTGGTTGTAAAAAATCCTCCCGAAATGATTCTTGTCAGGAAAAATCTCCGACTGGTGAGGTAAATTCGCACCCCCGCTATCTACAAGGTAAATACACGGCAGGCGATTCTCTCTGGCTATCTCTTGAGCTCTTAGATGTTTTTTTACAGTAATCGGATAGTAAGTCCCGCCTTTCACCGTTGCGTCGTTAGCTACTATCAGACATTTTTGCCTGGAATTTTTTCAATGATTATCAATAAAACAATCCATTGGTTATTAAATTAATAATAAATTTAATGATTTAAAAATAGGTTTTAGTCAATACCCAGCGACACGACCGATTCCCGTAATGATTCCTCCAGCTGGAACGGGATCTTCGTACATCTGGTAACCTGCCAGCTGGGAAAATTCCAAAAACGGAGACTCAGGGTCCAGCAGAGTGTTTATTCGCTCTCGAGGGAGTAATTTTCCTTTGCTGACATGTCTCTTTCCTGATTTAGAACCTCTAGATTCTTCAGTTATTGTTTGGACAGTTGATTTTAATTTTTCTACAAGTGTTTTCATCTCATAATAGTTTTCCTAGTTGGAATTAATAATTTATTCATTTATTATTATGATTTTGTGAATGGTCTAATATTTGAAGAGTTAATTTATGTAATCAGCCAGCAGGTCAATTTTTAGATAAGATACTGCGGTTCCTGATAACGAACACGTTGTAGAGTTTGATACAAAAAGTACCAGATCTCTTACAACTTTTAATTTCATTATTAAATTATTAAAATAGTGAAATAGTGAAAATATTAAATCATACATTTTTTATTTGTTTTAATTAATTAAAAAGTTACCTGATAAGTTCGTGAGTCGACTTCGGGTTTAGTTCCAATGACAAAAGCGTCATTATTAAAATTTCTGAAACATTTAAAATGTTTTATAAGATTTCTGCTTTTTTTAAACATTTCAATGTGTCAATAATTAAATTTCAATTGTTTATAAATTGAACGTCTTGAAAACGCGGGAATCGCGAAGTAACTGATGACAATTGTAAATTTTAATCGTAGCAGAAAATTTAGAAAATTACGAAATGACTGTTACCATCAAAGTTGCTACCAGCATTTATGAATAAAAAGAGATGGAGCCACTTAAATTTAAAAGTAATGACAAGTAATTACCGAAATAAATTTGAAGAGTTAATTTTAATTTATGTAATCAGCAAATTACTTTTTGGAGATAAGATGCTTCAGTAAATCTTATCAATTGATAACAGACACGCTTTTAGTTTAATCAAAGCAGATCTTCAATAGTTTTTTAAATTTTGTTATTTAAATAGTGAAAAATATAAAATTGAGAAGTATATTGAATTTTTATGTGAGAATAAATATTTTTTTTTTTTTAGTTTTTAAGCTTTTTTATGAATAATTTTTGTCACGCAGTTATTTTTTAAATAATTAATTATCAATCTTTGTGAAAAAAAAAAAAGAAAGAGTTTCTCAACAAGTTTTGAGACAACTTTTAGTGAACTAGATGTCAAATATTAATTATTATTACCCATCAGATTTAATATTTGCAAAGAACCGCACCTTCTCTAAGCCGCGGGAATCATGACAATGACCACAGCAGAAAATATATATCAAAATGGCGGTTACCATCAAAATGTTAAAGTTTTCTTACCACCAGTCGGCGTGATACCTTCCGAGCCGCCATTTTGTTTTTGTCCTTTTTTATTCCAAAATATGTCACACGTCATTCATCTATTTTTCTTCATCATTCTGCAAGTAAATAAACAATATTTCAATTACTAATTAATAATTAATAATTTTTTTAAACAAAATTTTTTTTTTTTTAAATGTAAAAACTATTGAAATCAAGCATGGATTAATTTAAAAAAAATATTATCTAGTAAGTGATGTGATAATACGAATATTAAGACGCAATTAAGTGTGAAAAATGCGTCAAACACAGTTGTCTGAATTTTTCCGAGTAACCGGCTCGCCGGGGTCGATTAAACGCGAGATTAAACGTAAATACGGACACTTAACCCCTAAATCAACCAACAAAGTAAGTTTTAATATTTTATTTAATTATTTATAATTGTTTATTTATTTACTTGTCAAAAAAAATTAATTTTAAATGTCAATTTTTCTATGTAATTTTTTTTGCAATCATTTTTTTGTTGTATGATTTTAAAAATTATTATTTAATAATAAATATGTGCTAAATTAATTTTTTTTTTTTATAAAAATTCTTAAAATTAATCAAATGTCAATTTTTAATAATTAGTTTCAGATAAAAGTAACACCCAAAAAAACAGACAGTCCTTCAAAAATGGACAAGAAGCGTTCGTCAGACTTATCTCTAAGCCAGGTCCAAAAAAAACTCCGTTTGGACGCCGAAGACTCTGAAAATGATTCAATCAACCTAACTCAGCCGTACGTGCCAATGGATTTTGATCTTGAGAAGATTTACCGCGAGAAGCATTTTGACATTGAGTTTGGCTCCGTGGTGATGTCCATGTGCCAGGAAGTGAAGCGTTTGAAGCCCTCGGAGAACAAACACGTCCAACAGCTGTTCTCGGCTTTTTGCAACACTCTGTCTATGCCGATCAACTGCGCTTACTTCACCGAAGAGGAGCTTAATGTCCTCAGACTGATGATGGGTCTCAGCGACGATGCGAAGATTCTGCTGGCCAGGTTGCTCAAATGGAAGGACAGCTGGCATAGAGTTAAGAAAATTTCTGGGATGATAGAGGTGAATTTTACTAGTGCGAGCTTTCAGGAACTTGTTGATAAGGGAATTTTTGATTGTGGTAAGTTTTGGACTTTAAAGAAATTATTATAAAAAATAATGAACAAAATTTTTTTTTATAATTTATAATTTTGCTTTATTCAACAATGACTTTTGTTAAATTGCACTGTACTTTCTTAATTATTGACGATTTTCAAGAAGTAAGCTCATCATGATGTTATACTCATCAAGACCTTTCATTTGAGTACCCACATGCATTTTTATATATATTTTTCATAGATACATATATATATAATATATATAAATATATGAAATATATGAAAAATTGATGCGGGTACTCAAATGAAAGGTCTCGATGAGTGTAACATCAAGATGAGCTTATATCTTTAAAAAATTCAATAGTTCACAAGATACAAGGTCATTTTTTAATTAACTATTCTGACGACAAAATTTTTCTCATTCTTTTAATAAATAAATAATTTTAAAAATAAAAACTCCAAAAAAAATAGTAAATTAATTTTTTCTCCCTTTTTTTCAGATTACGAAACCGATCAGATGTCAGTAGTGCTAGATCTCCTCTTAGTAGACGAGCTAAAAAGCATTTGCAAGCGTATGAAAGTCCCTCACACCACGGGCAAGCCCAAAATGATCCTCGAACTCTTAAAAATCGACGGAAAAAAGAAGTCCATGTTCGCCGGAATGAAGACCCCGAGCGCCGCTTTAAAAAAAGTAATCGAAGAAACAGTAGGCCCTTGCGTGCGCGTCTCAGTCCAGACCTGGAGCTTGATAAAGCGCCTGTTAACTCTTTTATACCCTGTCCAGGCCGCAGACGAGTCTCTAACAGACGTTTTCCGGGTTCTCGACGAGGTATTCTACGAGCAAAGAGTCTACCCTGACCTTCCCGAAGAGCGGTACCCAATTTTCCGCAACCGCCAGAGCTTGATCGATTATGTAGAAGCCAAAAGCGCCCTGATAAAAATCACTGATGCTACAATGAAGAAGAATTGGGACTTAGTCCGCGATTTAGGCCAGCTTGCGTTTAACAAACTCGAGCCGGCTTTCAAATCCCAGACAAAACTGGACGTGCCTTCACATGTAAGGAGATTCGATTCGACTTATATCTGGGGCAAGGTCGTCTGGTCTAGCGTCGACGCGTTTAAAAAGGAGAAAGTCGAAGGCATTGTCACGGCAACTAAATTCCTTAAAGCTCTTATTGAAAATAAAAATATCATCCAGGGAAAAATCGGTCGCTGGTACGGCGAGCTTGCGATGATTGAAATGAGCCATAATAAAGATCTAGAAGCCAGCGTGGCTCTGACCAACAAGGCGCTGACCGAGGAGCGGCTGTCTCCAGTGGATGTCGCCGAGATGCTGGACCGAGCCAGGAAGTTAGTAGCTCGCAAGACTGGGATCAGTTTGCAGAGCAAGGAACTCATGAAACAGCTGATTAGAGACAGAGAGGAAGAGTTTGTTGTGGTTCCTCATGAAGTTACGGGTAAAGAAATTTGTGTATACTTATATGTTATTATATATATTACTTATAATAATACTTCCGATGTTATACTCATCAAGAGCTTTCATTTGAGTACCCACATGCAATTTTGATATATTTTTCATATATATATATATATATATATATATATATA